GATCCGTTAATAGCGGACATAGGTTAATTTCCGTTAATTTTCTGTTAATTAACGGAAAATAACGAAAAAAGACAAAAATTAACCAAAAATTAGCGGATTTTTGGATTTTTTGGGGATTTTTGGGTTTTAGTCATACTTATAGTTTATGGAATTCGCTATTAGAGAGTATGTTTGTATTTTATTTCAACCTATGCATACTAGATTTTCAACTAACCGCAGTTGTTGTGATTTTTTGGGTTTTTTTCGATTTTTTTGGATTTTTTTCGTTTTTTCTGAATTTTTCTCCCTTTTTCTTTAACGGAATTTAACGGACAGCTGATAAAAATTAACGAACCGGACTTAACGGACCGGATGGCATCTTTGAGTGGCCACCTCTAGTGGCCACCTCTACCCACCACACGTGACGAGGCAACTAGCACCTCGACAGGGACCAAACGGGGGTGGCGTATAGTGGCCAACCCCAACACAACATTTGCCCTCTTCATGGGGAGAAACAGAGGAAAGTGTGTGTGTGTGTTGAAGTGGGGCAATGATTGGTATTATTGGGAGTGAACGGTAGGGTGGTCCGGGACCACCCAGGGACCGCTGTCCCTCCCCGGGGGCGGGGGCCACATCCCCGCCCGGAGGCCGATAGGCTAGGGACGGCGGGTTGGCGGCTCACCCCTGGGTGAATGTTTTGTTGGTAGGTGGTTGTCGCCGGTGCGCCCAGGTCAATGCCTAGCGAAGTTCAGGTGTTGGGGGAGACTCTCCCAACACTCAGTGAGGGTATAAGTGTGGGACCGCAATGCGCCCATTTGGGAAAAGTTGGACGCCTTGCTTTAGATGTGGGTTCCGTCTTGAAAGTGTGAGTGCAACTGTGGCGGTAAGGCGTGTGGAAGCAAAACCAATACATACACACAAATGTGCGATCGTTTAGAGCGATAATCGCTATCATTCACAATCATTGTGAAAAAAATGCAAGATATATATAGCCTAATAAGAACGATCAACAATAGGGAGAGAGTAAAAGGCCAGCGAAAGGGCGTCAAGTGAACGCCCTGAACCACATCTTAAGCGGCGACCCACGAAGCTTAACCTAAAGCCCTACAAGCGTTAAAAAAAGGAAAAATAGAACTTCTAAACCCCCCAAAAACTACACCTAAGAAACTGCCACGCCCAAGAAACTACAGAAGCATATTGCGGATGCCGCCGTGCCGGGAAGGGCGGAGGGGCCAGGCGGGGAGCGGCCGTTCGCCATGGACACCAGCTCCCTCCTCTTCGACTGCGAGCTGGCCATCCCCGGGCAGGCGCAGCACATCGCCTGGTGCCCCGTCACCAACTGCGTGGCCGTGTCCTGCAAATCCGACGGACCAGCGGCCCAGAGCGTGTGCGTGCTGGAGCCCAGCTGCCCCCAGGTGCGCGCCCCGGGCGCCAGTCGGCCTGGGGGCGCTCTGATCGCTAACCCCTTTGTTTGATTTTACCTTTAAAGAGCAAGCGGTGCCCTTGCACCTTGCAGGCAACTAAGGCGCGCATGCATGAAACGTTTTGTGAACCATTTTGGGTTTGCAGACTTGGGCGTTCAAGTCGCGTGCCTCTTTGAGTTTGCGCGTGCCTCCCTAGAAAGTCCCACGATCGGCCGCGATGGCCTTGCCCGTTTCCGTGCCCGTCGTACCCGCATGGGGCTCTGCTGAACACGAGGGCGGATTCTGCGATCCAAGTTGGAAAACAACTGGAAATGTATTCCACCGGAGCTGGTTCTGTTGTGGACCCGCTTCAATTGGGAGCAATTGGGCATGTTGTGTGAAAACAGAGTGAAACTGGACACATGATTGTGATGCCATGCACTGGAATTAAAAGTGTGAAGGCAACAACTTGCAAAGTGCACGCGTTCCTATGGAATTCACGAAACCAGATAGCATCAAACTGTCTACGAGGACCTCACAATGAGAGTAGGCCATCTCACAGAAGGATGCATGCAAGGGGCACACCCCACTGAGAAAGGCTAGTTGGGATATTCCCCAAACTGGGCTGAACTGCTGTCACTTGCATTCCACAAGCAGCAATATCAAGCCAAACCACATTTCGAATCATTGACTCATTATTGTCCAGCAGTGCAGATTTATACAGGCTGTTCCGATCACAAAATTTTGCAGGCTCGACCCAAGTGATTTCAAGGTGCTGCAGAAAAATTTCATTGTGGAAAAGTACCAGCACACAATGCAAAGCACCACACACAGTAAGAATATTGCAAAGTTGCTGCTGAGGAGCATGGTGGACTTTGCATGGGCATTGTTTCTCCCTGTTAATAACATAATCTTCAAGCACAGCAGTGAAGCAAGCACTCAGGGGTGGTTGTGGGAACATTCATTGTAACAAACAGAAGGACATGCCATAAAAAGGGCACTTCCGTCCTGAATGAAACTTTGTATCAAAATCTCTACTACTGTATGAAGCTGACATGGAAGTTATCAAGCACAAAGAAAGACGCATAGTACAGAATTGCATGTGTAGCAAGACACGCATTTGGGGAGCCTGGGTGAGCAGCCAGATCCATTTATTGCTGTAATCATTTTTCTGATACTGTAGCCTTGTTAGCTGTTGATGCACCCTGAACCTCACCCAGAAGGCCTGCTGCCACAAGGAAGTACAGTTGCATCAGAAAGGAACTGCAGCAATAGTGCATCGTCATGAGAAGTAGGCTCTACGCATATGGGGGCCAAAGCCACTCTGTTGTGTGTGGTTTCGAAGGATTGCACGATCCTGGAGGTCCCACTTCACGATGATGGTGACTCTATGGGTTTCTTGTCCTGGTCCCCAGCTGGATGCCGCCGAAAGCTGCTAACAGCAACGACTCGAGGTGATGTGCATGTGTGGACGCAAGGGGGTGCCAACGGCAACTTGGATGTACAGGCGGTGAATGCGTGGTATGGACAGAAGGTGAGAATTGTGGCTGGTGTGTGGATCGGCAAGTCATGAGAGGCCTGAGGACTTGTCACGTTCTTGTGGCGATGATAGAAACTGTGGAATCAAGCAACAACTTCTATGGAGGAGGCAGTGGAGGTCTGCTGCATTAGAGGGAGTTGTGCGAGTCAATGAACCTGCTCTGGAGCAGGCACGCAGTATATGGCTGTTTGGCAACGACCTCAATTATCTACTTGGTTACATGGCACATCAATATGTCTCCCTGACATGTCTATGTGGACGTCTACATCTGTATGGCTACCTGGCCATGATGTTCATGAACACCTGGGCTGCTCTCATACCCAGGCTGAGAAGGCAGTCCAGCTACCAGTCGTTCATGGCCAGTGTCCCAGACTGGTCCTTTGGACTTCAGTATGCCACATTTCAGTATTTGAGAGGGAACAATTGTCATGCATCATGCAATTTGGGACGAATTTGTCACAATGCAGAAGCATGCAACATGAGCTATGCGTTGCACCATGCTTTTGTTTGGATACTTTCGTTACCCCTGGACAGGTTTGCAGAACCCGAATTTTTCCAATCGCTGGAGAATGATTCATAAGTTCACTGTATGGAGGTTCGGCCCAGACCTTTTTCAGTGAAAGGGACTCCTGGTCCAAATTGAGGTAAAACCAAGTCCGAATTGTTTCCCAAGCATCCTTGTGCATCCGTATAGCCTTGCACATACACCAACATTGGTGGAGTGCCTGTTCTGACACACTGAGAGCTGTGATTCACGATTTCTAAGACCTGCTGCTGTTTTCCAAGGCTGTGTCCACCCCATCTGAGCTTGTGTGCGCCAAGTGGCTGTCTGCCCCGGCAAGCTGGAAATGGCCGCCATCCAAAACCAGTGAAGGGGAGGGCAGAGCTGATGGTGTGCCTGCCGCAGCAAGTGGAGAAGGGATGGATGTTCCGTTTGTCAATGAAGACAACCTGCTGGATGGGAAACTTCACTGGCTCCGATGCGGGCTGGCATGCTTTGCAACCATCACAAAAGATGCAACATACCAGGTGCTGTTAGGACAAGGGGCAGCACTTTGACACATAATTGTGATGGAACATTCTAGAACCAGATATGTATCAGGTGCGGGAGGGGCTGTGAGCCTCAGCAAAGTGCTCCACAGTGTAAGATCCGTTTTTCGGCGCATCTGCCGATTGTGACGTTCCCCTTTCCCTACAGCTTAAGGCTGGTAGAGCACATGAACTGAATTCTGATCGGTGAATGCAGTCACAGGGGCTGACAAGGCACTGCTGTGTTGTGGCCAGGTGCACTGGCGAGTTATGGGTGGGCTGTGCAGCTCCTCGCAGTGGCGCAGCCTGCCCCCAGTCACTCTGCCAGGGTCAGTTGGGCGTCTGCTGGCAGCGGACGTGGTCGGGGGGCAGTGTGCCACAGCCCGTCTGGCTGTTGTTTCTGAGGATCGGCCAGGATCGGTTTGCATCTTTGATGCGTCAGGAGACCCAACATGGTCCTGCGGGCCTGGGGCGGTTGAGCGTGCAGTGCAGGTAGGGATTCTGCGCCAAGATTCCTCGTTGTTTCTTCCTGGTTGAATGCCCTTGCTTTTTTTATCACTGGCGGTTTGTAATGTTTGTTGTGTATTTCATTGTCTTGACACGCAGAAATGTCTGTCTTGTGTTTGCTTGCATGGGGCCAAGCAGCGCCCTTGCACCTGTGAGGCGATGTCAAGCCTTCATAGACGAATTTGTTCTGTTTATGTATTTATCATGCAGTTTGTGATTGGGATGCGTTTGTTGATCGTGTAATTTGTTATTAAGGTTGCACCATGACCTGTGTTGCTCGCTGGTGGTCTCTTGATCATCGCAGATCTCCTGGTTGACTATCTTTGCCAAGCGGTACAGTACAGTAATATACTGCAGTCTCGTGCATCATATGTTCCGTAGTACACATGCTATGCTGGCACAAGATTCACATCGCCTGGAACCACTGCAGCATATCCAGCCCTTTCGCCTTTTGAAATTTAGGCGTTACGAGTGGCTCTGCATTTTGAAGTTTTAGGCTACGATTTGCTCTACATTTTTTCGGCAAACCATTATTTGGGGGCGGATGAGAGGGGGAAGGCGGGCGCATCATGGTCGCGGCCAGAATGATGACCCCGCTTAGTTCGCAGGACCTCATATGCTCGTTGTCCGCCACAGCCACTTATGCATCTGGGGCACCTAGACGCCACAAGCAGTCCAGAGACCCTCGCGTCCTGGCTGGGATGGTTCCACATTTTCTTGGCATCGTTGCGTTTTTGTGATTGCTCTGCAAGATCAGGCCAAGCGTTACGTTGCGATGCGGAAGGGTATAACATTCCATGGTACAGGGCTTTGTTGCATTTGCTGCATATGACAGTACAGCTGTTTTGCTGGATTCCAGTGTCAAATCACACTGTATCAACAATTTGTCAATGTGTCACTACACATCAACAATAACACCACGATTGATAGTCCATGTGCCAAGCCCATCCTAACAGCAGAGATGTGGGCCTTGTGTCACCTCACCAGAAAGTGCAAGGGGATGTGAAACCCTGGAAAATGTTTGTGTCGAAATGAGTGCTAGTCCCAGAGAAGAGATGTTTGGCACACTGGAGACAGAGTGGTGTCTGTGCGTGGACGTCAGTACTCAGGGAAATTGTGGCCAATGATGACCAACGGGCTTGACAGTTGATGGGGTATCCGTAATTGTTTCACTTGAAGATTGCTAAGCATGAGAACCTGAGAATTGTTCAGCAACGTTGTCAGTCCTCTGATTTCAGTTGTCAAAATCTGGCAGGCCCTGCCCATAGTGCAATGGCCCATGCAGTGTCTTCCACTCTCTAGACAGGCACTCCAAGATGGCCCACCAAATGCCTGTGGCCTGCCCAGTTTCTGGCACATGTGCAGTCAATGAGGATTCAGTTTCTCTATGTTTTCATTTTTGACTCGAGCAGCAGATGATTGATGCGAGGGGCTGACGAGCAGGTGTCCACTGTGACCAAGTTGGACTGCCCTGGTCAAGACCGTATCGTGCAGATCGCCTTGGGGGTGGGCAATGCCGGCCAGGCCATCCTAGTCCTTGGGGAGGACGGGCAAACTGGGACTTTCACGATACGGAGATACAGCCCAAAGGTTGATGAAGAGTTTTGGGAGGGTGAGTATTGTGCAAATACTTCAGTTGTGTTTGCCTTAAATGAAACAGTACAGCCCTTGCACCTGCAAGGCGATGTTGTTTCATGGGTCCGCGTGCAAACAGTCCGGATTGCGATGGTCATGAATGGGGAGGGGGGGAGCCATCAAATTCAATGCATCGCAGCTCAAAAGAGTGACAACAAACAGCCATTGCACCTTCCAGGCAATGGAGTGCGCAGATAGATCCAATCAGCTTTTGTTCAGTGTCCTGATATTGCAGTTCCACGCACTAGCCAGTGAGCCATGGGAGCCCTTTCTCTTACGGCAACATGGAGCATGATGACAGCAACTGCTCTTGTTGTTCAGATTGCGTTCATGCTTTCAAGCGAATAAGATTATAGCAGTCTTCCATGCCAGCACATCTTAAATGTGTTGATACCCTTGAGTAGCGCATGTGCTAGTAGTGCTGTAGTTCAAGTACAGCGAGGGGCACAACACACTGTGTATGTCTCAGTCCAGGTTTAAAGACTGTTGATTGTGATCGCATTTTAGTGTTTGGCGTGCAGCAGCACAAGACGCTGATTTGAACAGGTGACAAGTAGGTTTCTGAAAATGTGGGATCAAACAATTGCTTGCATGGACACATGCCTTCCATTTTTGCAAAATGCAGTAGTACAGATGTATCCTGGGAAGACTGTTAGTACTGCAAGTATAGTAACACCCAACAAGAATCTGATATGTTTGAGTTGACTTGGCCTCTTGCAGTGGCTGTATTGACAGCCCATGCCAATCCCTTTTTCCTTGAAAGAGCCATGGCCTCAGGCTGGCAATGGGCACAGGAGTACACAGCTCCGCGAACAATGCCAACAACCATTGCATTTTGAATAATAGCATCACAATTGTAAAATTCCAAGATCGAAACAAGTGAACCTTGCATGTGATTCAACATTTCGATTCACAGAAGAGTGCCTCTGCGCTCAACAGGAGGCGCGGTGTACCAAGTTCCAAGGGACAGGCTTGCCACAGTGGCATCAGCTGGCACCCCGAGCTTCTGCGTCAATGGGGACGAGGCCTCCATTGGGGTGCTGGCGCCAGGGCAGCCGCCCTTGCTCATTCGCCAGCAGGAACTCGAGGAGCACTTGGATGCACTGCAGTGGCCCAGTGACGAGGGCGGCGCAGGGCCCATGCCGCACTGCGGTGCCTTTGGGCCCTGCGGCTGCGCCCTGGCTGTAGCAGCAGATGGGGAAAGGTCGCAAGCTTGCAGGCTGGTCGTGTGGTCGCTGCCGGACTACTCCGTGGACACGGCAAAGGAAATGGCGGACGAGGTGAGGGTGCTTGGCTGCCGTCTTGCGGCAGATACTGACTGCTTGGCAGTCAATGTGAATGCTGCATAGCATGGGTGACGTCGGGTGCTGGATTTGGGTGTAACTTGCAACAACATGACAGGGCATTGCCGTTCACCTGCAAAGCACTGTCAGAAGCTGCAGTGGCAAGGACAGGTACTTCTATGCAGTCCTGTACGAGTAGTGCTGGCCTCCACGCCCCAACCCATTCCCACCCCTTTCCCTCTCTTTGGTGCTGAGGAGGGTCGTTACAACGGGAGTTACATTAGAAGTGGATTGTGGCTGCACAACTGTGAATTACATCAACCTTTAAGTGGCTGTTGCCTGGGCTGTGAATGTTGGTTTGTGGTACAGTTGCCCAAGCATTTTGTTGAAGGCCATTGGTGGCTATTGTGCTGCTTTGGGCCAGCGCGATGGAAACAGGAACTGTGGCGATGTCTTGAGAAGCTGGAAAGCAGACCTGACATTTGAGAATACGCTTATGAGATAGATGCTGTTCACAGGAGGGTGTTGTCCATTGTGTGACATTTTCCACTTTCTGCTGACGGTAAATCCCAAGGACAAGTTGAATTTGGTGTGGCTCTCGCGTGGCAGCACCACATGCGTCATTGATGATCACTGTGCGCATGTTTCTGCCCAACTTCAGGCCATGAGCAATGCAGACAGAATGGTTTGGGGCTTTGTAAACGGCTTCTGCACCTGGGATGTCGTTCACCACATCTGCAGCTCCTCCGCATCGTCCACAGCTGTGCTCTACGACACCCTTCGGCACCTGGACACCATGATTCATCGACACCCATCCCACCCACGGCCCCATTTTGCATCTCTGTACGACCAGGCGAAAGCTCGCATCCTGGCAGACGTGTGCGCCAAGGCACTGCAGTCTCCAGACAGTGAAGCCAGCACGGCTGAGGTGGGTTTGGAATCCAAACTTTGGATTCCAAATTAAGAGATAGAGATGATTGAAGCCTGTATTAAGTGCCTCAATAATAAGAGATAATCTTAACCTGGACAACTTTGTATTCCAACTGATTCCAATTAATTAAACTCTGGAATGCAAACTTTTTTTCTACATGCTCGCATAACTTTGGCCACTACACACCGAAGCGGACCCCTTGCACCTTGCGGGTTTCAGCCACAGTTGAGTGTTGACAGGATGTTGGGTTTGTGCGTGGTCACTTCTGTTGGGTGGTGTCTTGGGGCGCAGAAAGGCGCGGGAGTCACAGGATATGTTGGCATTTTGAAAGGAATGATTGATCTCTTTGCAACGATGTGCAAATACTGCACGCCGGTTATGGCACTTGCATGTTATGATTTCAGATCATCAGATAGCTTCAGGTTTCCTGACAGTCCAGAATGATCTGCCAGTGCTCGGCACTGTTCAGCAGCAGCAATCTCCATTTTGGCGATGCCAAAAGTATTCCATTTCGACTTGAAGTCATGTCTCTCAGTGATTGCATTGGCCCTGCAAGACTGTGATGGCATCAATTTATGTGAACAGTGCAGCCCAGATGGCAACGCCAACTTGACATTTGCTTCTGGTGGTTGATAGGCACTGTTGGCATTCTTCAAACAGAATGGAGTGCTGGTTTTTCAACGGGCACCTCCGCACCGATCAAGAATAATGATAGAACCCCAGCAATGAGACAGAAGGTGCACAAGAATTATCCACTACCGCGAGACGGCCTGTGACACCAAGCAGTATGTACCGCAATACAAATGCCGCAGCAGTAATCAACAAATGAATAGACAAGCAAATGAATAAATATAAATAGTAAACAGAACGCAAATGGAAATGCACTTTGAATGTTAGGCCTCGGTGTGTCTGGCTGTTGGCCGTCGTCCATGTGCTGACTTGAAGTTGCCTGCTTGCGAGCAGGCGGTTCTTGTGGACATCTATGCACGCACCATCATCTGTTTCATCTTCAACGCTGTGGGCATGCGGTTTCGAGACGATACCCAAGCCGTTGAGGGGGCCCCCAGTCCCAAGCTAGAGGCTGCCGAATTTCAGAAGTGCCTGCCCTGGATTGTCTGGCTGCATCAATACAGGCAGCTGTTCTGTCAGGTGAGTTGACCCAGTGATCTTGAATCATGAATCAAATGAATCTGGTTATGTCATTTGAAATTGTCATGTGTGAAGCGGAATGGTCAATTATTTGGAAGTGGTAATACACTTGATTGAAAGGCCTACATGAACTGAGTAAAACTGTACAACCTAATGTACTATGAATGGTAATATAACGCTAGCAACTTGCAGTGTTGTAGACTTTATAATTCTACATGAACTTTGAAGTTTAAGTATGAAGTGGAAGTAAGCAGACAGGTTCTCTTTGTCAACCTTTGTGTTCGGAGAAGTGTGTGGCTTGGTAAGAGAAAAGCCATGTGAGGACATTGCAGAGATGTATTGTGGTATTCGTTATCTAAAACATTTGTAGTTCTTACTGAATGATTCTAGAAGTATTGCTCCAATATGTTGATGGCGGGAACAATGTAAAAGTAGCTTGCATGCAAAAGCATTTATCATTTTTGTGTCCAGTTGCTGGCACAATGCCTCCTTGTGTCTTCATCAAGAGTGCAAAAGGCAGGAATGTAAATGTGCTTGGTTGCATGCACATTCGATCATGCTGACGTCTTGCCTCATTTGCTTTGTCCCATATGTTGTTCTGTGCCTGTTGCTCATTTTTGAGCACGCACAGCATCGTGGGCTGCAGTGAACATACATCTTGTTGGCCTGTGGCACGCTGCATATGATCAGTGTTTACAAGGCGATAACCAATCTATAGCCTATGTCCATGCGAATTTCGAAGTGTCGATCCCGGCATGGTTTCTTTGTCAGGAGCATTCTGGCATCATAAGTCCAGCATAGAGAACAGGATAGACACGACATTTGGATTGCGCTGGAGCAAGTAACAAAGTCAAGAATTGAAACTCAGCTAGCTTTTACTGCTGTGGCTATATGCATGCATGCTCACAGTCGCTACCTTTATGGCCCAATTTTGGTTCCTTCCCATGGTGGTCATTGGTATCAGACTATTGACATTGACACCAAATCTGACATTCCATTGCATGTCAGGCAGAATTGTGCAGTGCTTCCAATGTGGGCACAGCCAGAAAGGGATGGAGGCAGTGAAATGATCATGGTGTTGGCTGTATTTGCAGTGCATAAAGACATGGATACAACGCTGCCAAGTGTCGGAAAAGAAAGGCATTGAAGAAGATGCTGAGGCTGCATGCATACCATGTGTGCGGCTGTTGGTGGACTCCTACTTCATGACACGCTTCATGAACATGATGCTCATTGCCTTGGGAATCATGAAGAGCCGATTAGCAACGGTGCGGTGTCCACAGCCAGTAGCCAACCCATTGTGCCTCCATTCCTGTCAGTTGTTTTCTGCTGCTGCAGAAGAAGACAACGCGCTTTCAGGCAACATCTGATTGGGGTGCATCCCCAGAGCTTACGAATGGCGCTCTGCTCCGCACTTCATGTGTGCACACAAAATGCAGAGTGCGAAGATAAACCAAAACAAGGAAACAGGAGAAATGTTGTGTCAGCAAATCAGCAGAGCTGATTGTTCACTGTTTGATTCATTTTTATAGCTTGTAATGTTGCGCAGTGCACTGTTTCAAAGGGTCTGATTTACCTCCTTGGAGAGATTTCATTCCCCAACATGCAGAGTGACCTTGGCAGTATGGTTTGTGGGTGCTGTTCGCATCCAGATGTGTGTCTTCTCAGTGCAGATTGATGCTCTCACACCCTCTTGCTCAAGTTCTTGCACGCTCAACTCATTGTGGTGAGCTGGTAAAATGAACAGATATGTGACATAAGGTATTTGTGGAAGTACACATACATGGCATCGCCTACAAGATGCAAGGGCACCGCTTTTTCTTGCTGAGGGCAATTCTAAAGGATTTAAGCTCAACCATGTTGGTGTGGCCCCCTTGCATGGGTTTGTCAACAACACAACAAGCACTGCCCTTGCGAAGAGTGACATAATGCGGCCATGCCAACTGTAAGACGATGTCAGACTTCATGCCTGTCGCTGCAGACAGACTGTCCACAGACTGTCCGCAGACTGTCCACAGACTGTCCGCAGACTGTCCACAGACTGTCCGCAGACTGTCCACAGACTGTCCGCAGACTGTCCACAGACTGTGTCCGACTGTCCGCAGACTGTCCACAGACTGTCCGCAGACTGTCCACAGACTGTCCGCAGACTGTCCACAGACTGTCCGCAGACTGTCCACAGACTGTCCGCAGACTGTCCACAGACTGTCCACAGACTGTCGTCCATGTCGATGACCGTAAATTGCGGAGTCCAATTCAGTTGTATGCTCTGCGGCAGCTGCTGGCTGCTGTGAAGCCCGAAGTTCCTGTCTGGTGCCCATGCTGAGTTTGGCAGTGGATGCCATGTGCGCCACAGCAGGACAGCCACAGCACCAGAGACCCAGTGAAGGATGATAGGAAGACAAGGGACATGCTCAAGGACTTTGGGAACTTCATAGAAACGGCCAAGGTGCTGCGGAAAGCTTTGAAGGATGCAGCACCGCCGCAAAAGGATGGCAGCGCATCAAAGGACGATATCGCACTGGCGTCTGTGTTGATTGATGCCATTCACAAAACGTGCCCGGGCAAGGTCCACCTGCACTACTACAGGCCAGATGGCGTCTTGAAATGGCAGGTCAGCTGGTTTGAGGGTGAGATGGATAGGGACACAAGAATAAGATCCGAATTGGGACTTGCTTGAATGCACACAAGGATGAATTGAATGGAAAACAGCAGCTTTCCGTGTGATCTTGTCAGTGGCCCTGCCGTTTGGTGTTCTCAGCACAGTACGGGTGCACGCCTTTTTTTTCCTTTTCAATCCCATGTCGTTGCAGCACATTTGATGCTGAAATGTGTCGCGCCTGTTCCAATGCAAGGCATGCCATTTGCGCATCCACTTGCTTATGTTTATTTCCTAATGTTCTCATTCATTGGGTATTCACCAGCTCACATGACAGCACAAGGTAACATAGGTCCTGTACAGGTTTGGTTGTAAGAACAAAGAGGGCAGTGAAGTTTGCAGCAAATGAGTTCAGCAAGTGCCACCAACTAGGCGGCTGTGAACGCTATCTGATGCCGCCCTGTCGGCGCAACCTGCAGCAGTTTGTTATAGGATAACACCATTCGGTCTCTTGCAAACACAACTCAAGCTTCAAACACGTGATTTGATCCAACTTTCACACAATTTGAGCACAATTAGAAATTGCATGAAGCCGGGAATTTCTGCAAGTGCCGCTGACCAGATGGTACGCCTTTGCGACACACCACATGATGAAACAGTCTTTCCAACCTGTGCAGGCACAGACTACAACAAAATACTAAAACAAGCTATTACAAACTACTACAACAGACTATTACAAACCACTACGAACTACTACAACAAACTATTACTTCCTCTGTTCCAAATTAACTGTCCTCTATTTGGAAGACAAAACTCGTTACAAGGGAAGCCTCAAAAGTACAAAGCAGGGTCAGAATCGAAAAGATGGGGTCCCAGCACTGTCAATTACCATTTTTTGTGAAAAAAACACTCGTCCCCATTAGCTCTGGGGCCCGCTCGAAATTTTCGGCCTAAGATTTGGCCGAAAATTGTGCATTCTGATTCCGCTCGAATGGAGATCCGCGTGGCTCTGGGTCGCTCCCGTCCAAGGCGTGCCAATGCAAATTCTTTGTTGCCGTCGTGGCAAAGGACAGTTTCCCTCGCGTGGTATAGCAGTTGCCAAACACACTCAACCGTGTTTAGGTCCCCATCGAAGAAGCCCGTTGCCACACCGTCGACGATGGCAGGAATCGCCACCTTCCCTGATCTCTTATGCAAGGACTTGCAACAAGCGAAAAGGGCCAGCACCCAAGACGCCCAAGCTTGGGCTCTGTGTGGGCTATCACACGTTTTCTACCACTTTGCTTCTTCGCAGGGACCTCTTCGAGCTCTTATCTAAACAGCGTGGATAGTTTTGCGCGGGCGGCTATGTTTCGCCATTGCGAAGGCGTGCTCCTCAAACCAACGAAAATGGCCAAGTTCGCGAAGCTGTGGAAAATGGGTGTTTGCTGGCTGGAGGACCCTTACTACAAAGTATTGCCAAATCCTCAATACTTAATGCAACAACTTGAAATTTTGATTGTATTCTCCGGAAATGTAGGCACAGCCTTGGACAAAATTTCATTGAAAAAGGAAGAATTTATGACATGGGAGTGATGCGCACCTTGTCGAGCTGTTGGACATGGTTGGTCTGTTGGGTGGTCTCCAGTTGCGCACTAATGGTTTCTGCGTCTTTTCAGATACTGCAAAAAGTAGTCTCACATATTCATTGCCCGGGAGGGATGTACCCATCGCATGACCTTTTAATTCCTTCAGTTTCAGTTTTGGTTTTGGTTGGTTTTGGTTTTGGTTTTGGTTTTGGTGTTGGTTTTGGTTTTCGTTTTCGTTTTGGTTTTGGTTTTCGTTTTGGTTTCGTTTTCGTTTTCGTTTTCGTTTTCGTTTTGATTTTGGCTTTACTTTAGTTTTGGTTTTACTTTTCTTTGGTTCTCTCCTCCATTTGGAAAAACGGCAGCTCATTTATGTGTTTAGATCGTGCAGAGCTGTGGAGAACCTTGTAAAACGACTGCAACCCATTACATCACAGTGGTTGTGAGCATGATGCCATGACCGTCTACTTGATGCAACTTTCACAGGCACTCGCCCCATTGTGCTGCAGGATTTAGTCAAGCTCAAAACCCCAAACAGCCTCTCCACTGCGAGCGAGATTTCAGACTCCGAGTGGAGGGAGAAGTGCATGCGGCTGGGCCTGATGCCCGTGAACTGTCCGCCCAGCCCCCACGTCGGACCACCGCTAAGCCTGTCAGCGGGATATGGAAGGTTCCGGAAGAGCTCTCCAGACAGGTATCGATTGCCAAATATCGATTTGCCAGGTGTCGATTCCAGATATCGATTCCCAAATATCGAATCGCCAAGTATCGATTTGCCAGGTGTCGATTCGCCAGGGGTCGATTCGCTGGGCGAAGGTGCTTGAGCAACTTCGTCCAAACGAATACTTTGGACAAACTGCGTGTGACGGGTTTGGCACCTGGACACCCAAATGTGCCACAATATCTCGGCATTACGAAACAAAAGGAAATAGAAAAGAAGAAGAGAAGGCCCGAAATGGACGCAGCTGACGCCTTTTGTTCGCAGGCTGAGGTGGACAGTCTCGAACGCGGCGAAATTGTCATCTCCCCTCGGCAGGCGCTGGCGCCAGGACCGCGACTTTGCTGTGGGCCAGAGCGCCTTCCCATCCTTCGACTGGGAAGACCCCCTTCACAGGTTGGCTGCCCTAACTGCTTCTATGTTCTTATGTTCTTGTGTTGATATGTTGTTATGTTGATATGTTGTTATGTTCTTATGTTCTTGTGTTCTTATGTTCTTGTGTTCTTATGTTCTTGTGTTCTTATGTTCTTGTGTTCTTATGTTCTTGTGTTCTTATGTTCTTGTGTTCTGATGTTCTTGTGTTCTTATGTTCTGATGCTCTTATGTTCTGGTCTTCTTAGGTTCTTATGTTCTGTATGTTCTAGGTCCTCTGTCCTATGTTGTTCTTTTGCCTGGGTTGCTACTTTTGGACACCGCTCTTTGACGATGGACATGCTGCGTTGGCCTTTGATGCTCTCTTTTTTGTATCCGCCTTTTGTTCCCGGGGCTCCTTCTAAACCTCCCTAAATGTGGAGCGAAAGCGGGATTATGCCTCCTTTTTTTGTGTTGTACACGAGATTGTTGCATAAGATTATTACATAATGTTTTGTACGAATTTCGTAAGAATTTCTTAAGAATTAGTTTTTACGCCATTCTTATATAAGATTGTGGGTATTGCGGGTATAGCACGGACGGCGACATGCACATCCTTATCGCAACACCATATGTACGAAATCTTCTTTGCATAAAATTGTTCCATGACAATCTCAACCCTTGACAGGCGCGACTCCATCACTGGCATGTCGCTGCCCCGCGAGGAGCCGCCCTGCCTGTGCACCGTGGACGGCAGCTCGGTGACCAGCCACCCAGACGTCTGGCAGGACGAGGGGAAGGACGGGGAGATCGGGGCCATGCTCAAGCGGGCGTACGTTGTGGTGTCGCCCGTCACGGGGAGCCGGTGGAAGCGGCTGAGGGGCTGACGGGCGAGAGCGAAGCGCAGGAGTGGTGCTGGTTTGAAATTCAGCGAAGCACACAGCACTGATGCCACATCGTGTTTATTCAGCAGAGCACAGCAGCGCTGGTGCCGTGCCGTGTTTCTACTGGGAGCGTTGAGGCAGGGGGCATTTGGCATTCCAACTCGCGTTGAAGCAAAGTGAGGCCACGGGCCGGCAATGCTCGCTATGTGCAGAGGCGGCAGGCTGACGACTCGCCAGTGGCGAGTGAGGGGATAGACTTTGTTCCAAAGTGAGAGAGAAACAGGTCATGCAAAGGGCACCCTCTCCTGAGCAGGAGCGTGCGGGACTCTTGTCCATGCTGTGAAAGTGGGACATGGAGGGTCACACAACGCGAGCAACGGGTGAGGGGATGTCGCAGCGTGTGGGCGTGCAGGAGCAGTGCTGGTTCGAAGCTCAAAAAGGCGCAGCAGCACTGATTTCGTATCACTTCTTGAGAGACTGAGAGCCGGTTTGCCTTTTCAACTCGAGCACCATCGAAATGGGCCCACGGGCTGGCAGTGCACGTTGCGTGCAGAGGCTGCAGGATGAGTTGTGGGGCGCGCGTTGCTTTGAGCAAAGAGGGGGTGGCACGTTTGTCGGGCGCTTTGCGTTGCGTTGTTGGCCGCCCTGACGCACAGGCGGGGTGGATGAATGGCTGATATCATTGGCATTGCGCTTCCGCACCGCGGCCATGTAAATTCAATTGATTGCTTCTGACGGTCCGATGCGGTGGTCTCTGGAGCTACAAGGCGATGACAGGCCGGGTGCCGACATCGCTGCTCGCTTCTGAATCCTTTGTGCACCGTTTCTGTATCGTTTCAATATCGTTTCAGCATCGTTTGCGCATCGCTTCTGAATCGTTTCTGAACCGTTTCTGAATCTTTTCTGATATCGAGTTGAAAACCCTGCCCAATGTGCATGCGACGCCAGAACGCCCTGAAAGCTGGATGGAGCCCGAAGCACTCCTTCCGGCGTTGTGGGCACAGAGCCAAAGTACTGCATACTCAGAGCGGCACACACTTTACCGAAATGGTGCTCGAACACGTGGAAAAGCTGGCGTCAACTGTCCAGATTGGGATCCCACAGATGGCAGAGCCTCCCGGGGCGCCATCTTCGCGCAACAGTTAGTGAAGAGAGGTGCAACAAAGCCTGAAACCGCACATCTTGCGTGTGTCAGCCTGTGCAACAATTTCTTTCAAAGATTCCAAGCAGAACGACAAGCTCATGGCCCCAGCTGGGGTGGCATGAATGGGAAGGCGTGCAACACGCAGAAAGGCGAAGACCTTCCGTGGCGTTGCGGCTTTATGGAACAACGAGACGCTGCCAGCAACAAGACAACACTGCCGGATGTTGAGGGGAAGGTTGTTCGTGTCAAAGTCGCCTGGAAACGCTGTCCGGGGAGGTTGTCTGATACCCGTCGTTTCCGGACATGAAGGTCATGAAGGGGTCATGAAGACAATGAATGGCACGCAGGCTTGAGATAGACTGTAACCTAAAGCCCTAAAAACCGTCGTAGTTCCAGTCTCCAAAGCGGCTCATTGCGTGGCAGTGGCAGCTCTCGCGCTGGAATCCTTCGCTGTGTGCCCCTATGTCTTCGCAGCGCTCCAAAGTAACGAGGCCTTCATGCCATGCGCGGAGCCGCTCGGCACTGCAGTCGTATTTCAGCTCAGATGCCACTGAATTTTCTTCCAACAGAGTGGCCCACTGAACATCCAGGCATTGTGTTCTTCCAACCCATATGGGCGTCGTAAAACGTGGCATGGAATCCTGGTGCGTGCCGCCTTAGGGTATCTTAAGGCGTCTTGTGGTGCCTTAGGTGTCGTCTTTTAGCGACCCCAGGCCCCTCGAAATAATGTGCCTCTGGATGAGCTGAAAATGAGCAAGTGAATTGAGGTGCAGAGGGAAACATTCAACGGTGGCTTCACAAATCGCTGCAAAGTCCACACTTCGGCGCAAGCTGCTCATGTGCAGGCTTGTCTGCCCGCACGCACAAGACCCGATCTCCTGCCGCCCGTGGCACTCTCCCACAAACACAAACCGCCGTCATCGAATGTCCTCGATATTTTGGTGACGAACAAACGTGTATCCCAGGCTGAATGTGCCGGTTCGTGCATTGCTGAGATGCATACCTCAAGCTCTAGTTGGCCGGCAGAATGTGCACCGGCAAGTATGCCACACCTGTACATGTGCCTCAAGTGTTTCAGGCACGTACATAGGGCGGTGTGTGTGTGGCAGTGGACACATTCTGCCAGCAAAACGCTAACTGTGCAGCGAGCCCTTCCTGCCGACTGAGAAGCAAGGTAGTGGGCGGAACAACATCCCTTCCGCCGCGAGGCCGTTGTTGTGCCAGATACGGTACAAGTTGCATCGTACACGATCGTGCACAATGCTAGATGGTATCTAGCATCGCACACGACCATAAATCTGGCAGATACGTATCTGACCCATCCCGAGGTGTGACTTGCCCAAGCCCCAAGTGGCATTGCATCAGTGCAGCCTGCAAAATCCAACGCAAACTTCTTGCCCTGTGGTAGTAGGTGGTTAGATGCAAGGAGACTGGCAGGGCACAAACGCCACCGAGCAGCCAATGGCGCCACAGATCCTTGCGATTGGCTGCTCCAGAACATCATGGCATTTTCCCAATCACATCGTACAAATACGATACACAATGATGCACAATCAATATGAAGCACAGTAATGTGTTTCCAGGCCATTGCAGCATATTTGCGCCACCTGGTGCAGCACCCGGCCCAACAGAGGCGACGAGGTTGGGACAGCAACAGGAGCTCGCCAACGCCGTGGCATCATCAACGCTTGCGAAAGGCCCCATCTAGGGTGCACAACACCCCATCACCACCACACACACCCCAAAGAAAAAGGTATTCTTGCCTATACTTCTGAAGTATGTGCAAATCTCACGTTCACAACGGCCGCGGCAGTGCATAAGTCTTCACTGCATGCAGTCGCGCTGTTGCGAACGGCTGGGCGCATTAAGAAGTGATGAGGCATTTGGAACTGCATTAAGGACAATTGATGAACGGACTAGATATAAGGGACAGAACTCCTGCTGTCCCTTTGCTCGGCTGTAAACCGTCGCCGTGGACTGGAGCCTGCGGTCCCCGTTCAGGGGTCGCCACCCCTCGACCCTACCGAAACAATATTACTGCTTGCACTAAATCACGTGCACACTATATCCTAGCCTCAGTTTGAGGGTTAGGTTTAGTTTTAGGGTGAGTTTTAGGGCTAGGATTAGGGTTAGGGCAGGTTTATTATTAGGTTTTAGGGCCTAGGTTTTAGGTTAGGTAAGGTTTGGAGGGAGTTGGTGCAGGCAGTCACCGATTTAGTGAAGAAAGTCGCCAATTTGGTGCAGCCAGCAATTGTATGCCGACCCTACCTGCCTTTGGCAACGCAAGCACGCCACCAGAGCAACACATTGCGAAGGACAGCATCCATAGGCGGGGCTGGCAAAGGTCGACGCCCGGCTTCATGAATTTTGCAGGTTACAGTGACACCAAACCAGGGCCGTCCTCGACGAGCGATGGCCAAAAGCAGCGCACCCCGCCGCACAAACAATTCAGCCTTCCCTCCACCCCACCCCACCCGCCAGTCTTCCTCGCTGGGACTTTACGGAACAACGCCACGGTGCCCTCCCACGGCGCCCACGGAGCGACAAAGCACCCCCATGCCTTCCTCGCCCTCGCCGCTCGCTCATTGCCACTTGGGGCGCCCAACCAGCCTCACGCCATTTCGTGCGCTCCACGCAACACCGCCCAGGGCACCGCCAATGACACTCTATTCAGATCCCTGCTCCCACCCCGCCATCCCGATGGACTCGCAATGCGCCGCGCTCTGAACCCAAATCAGAGTCCACAGATGACTCGCTGCCGCCCCTTATTGGCAAACAGGCTGAAGCAGCCAACCCGCGTTCCATTATGGAACTTCCATAATACTTCTGATCTGTGGCAGTATGGTACAAAACAACATGACAGGCTACGAATGCCAAAACGTCAAGTCCCTCCAGGGCCAGGCCCGCTCCTGGCCCCGCGTCGCAAATAATCTGTGTGTGGCCCGAGACGGGCCTCTAGATTGCACTTTGTTCATCCTCGCGAATGATTGAGTTCCAGCATGTTTCCTCAACCGGCATCCACCCTTATCCTCTCTGGTCGCCGTCTCTCAGACTCTCCCCTCCCCTCCCCTCCCCAATTTCCAGTCACCCAGCCAAGCGGGCAAAGCGCCGGCGGCCCTGAGCGGGCCGCCAAGCCCACGGTCAGCTCTGAGACGCCCTGCTCAGCCCAGAGCCCTTCTCATCAGCGGATGCACGATCCCCCGCTTTCGGAGTTGACGGGCTGTCCTTCAGCAGCCTCTCCCATTCAGCTAGGTTCACGGCGATGTGGTGCAGCGCCATCTCGCCGAACTTGGGCGCCAGTTGGGACAGGAGCTCGACGCTGGGCTTGGCGATAAACTCGAAGAACGTGGACTGGCTCTTGGGAACTTGGACATGGTCCCGGCGGCACAGCGGGGAGCGGGCGACGCCCATCTTCTCCTCCTTGTCCCCTTGGGCAAACAGTTCTGTCGCAGGGGCGACCACGCACAAGCATCAGACCCCATTAGGGCACATTTTGCATTTTGCAGGAGTTTGATAGCTCATGGTGATGAAGGCAAGCAGGATCGAGGGGTGGCGAACCCTGAACGGGAATCGTGCGCTCGAGTCTACGGCAACGGTTTACAACCGAGACAAAAGGACAACAGGCGTTCTGTCCTTTATATTCAGTCCGTTCATCAACGTCCTTAATACAATTCCTAGTACTTCATCATCTCTTCATGCATTCAGTTGCTGCTAATACTCAATCGGTTCCAGTTACAGCAATGGTTGATAGTTGACAGCAGTGGGTCTGATAAATGACAACTTGATAGTTTCACAGATTGATGCTTTAATGGTTCAACACAAGATAACCAGTGCACCCCCATGCTTCGATACGAAATTCACACTGTAAGTACTGTGCAGTGTGCGCACCAGTCCGAGGCCAAGGATTCTTCTCAAGGCCTCAGAGGTATAAGAGCGGGGTGGAGCGCAGGCAAAGCAACTAAGCATCCCCGTGGAAAATAACACAGGCACATTTGTTGAAACGTTCCGGGCCCCAATGAGCACCACCCCATCTGACACATCTCGCTCTCGATGGACTCGCAACCTTGACTCTGTGTATGCTCTTCCACAACACCTTGTATCAACCCCGGGCTCCTTCCACAGTACCTCTGGCCAATCGAGTCACAGTGGGATTGAAATGCTTGCTCACACTTTCCAATGCGCTTTCGCTTGTGGAGCTATGGAACTCGTGACACCAGCTAGCGAAACAGTGGTCAACAGCACAAACAACACCCAAACAAAACATGTGATACACTGAGCATCCCTGATCTGGATTCCATTCCCAACATCGCCTCTAAGGTGCAAGGGCAGTGTTTTGTCATGTCTACACGACAAATGTCATCAAAGGATTTGAGCACACACCCACCGTCCATTATTCGGTAGGCCCACTGTGAAGCCAGCTTCCATGGACGAGCAGGATTGGAGATGTCGGCACAATGAAGCAACATCTGGCGGAGAGCTGACCTGGCATCGTCTGACTCCCACTTATCCAAGTCCTTGTCATACAGCGCAAAGTAGCGGGCGAACCTCGCTGACCACATTGAAACCAGAAGCTGTGTGTCAGGGTTGCATCAGTTCTGAAGCACCCACCACAACAGAATCCCCAAGGATGCTGACTCGAGCATTATGCAATGTGTGACTTTACTTAGTTGTGTTGCGAATGTGGTAAGACCCTGACACATGTTCTTGATGCCAACCTCGCGTTAGGTTTTGCTTCTTCTGTTAATGATTGATTCCTTCATTCACCACAGACCATGAGGGGGCCACTCCCCAGTTTGGGAAGACACACAGCCGATCTTGTCAGCGATTGTCCAGGAGTACATGAGGTCTGTACACAGCTGGCGATCAAATGCCAGTAGCACTGGGGGAATGGGAGATTGGTGTTTTCGCTGGACAAGTGTTAGTCATGACCTTCAAGGTGGAAGTTGCTGTCTCGCCCTCAGAAAGTAAACGGAGTCTACAAGGAATCAATTACAATAGAAGCAACAACCACTTCTGCATTCCAGCACTTTTGTGTTTCTGTGCTTCTGCATTCTGCACTTTTGCACTTCAGTATTTCTGTACTTCGGCATCCTTACAATTCTGACTTTCTGTTCTTCATCAAGATATTGCCAGCAGGCCTGCCTTGCCCAAAGCGCTGCATGAACCCCACAATTCAATGTACCAAAGGTCAACCTGCCACTATGGAATCCATGGTATGGATATCCTCCTCACTGGCACTTGCAAGGATTAGACTTGTCAAAAGACATAACACAAAAGGCCCTTGCAGGTGTTGGAGGGCACAGAAACATCTAATCAGTGCTTGGTCAACGTCACAATTCCCTTCCCTTGAGCAATAATCTTGTGAGACAGTTATTTAGGCTGTGGGGAGATGGTGCCCAAGCTGCCACCCTACCAAGGAGCTCATTGTGCTTGATCATATCTGTTGCCAGCACCATCCTGATCATCGACTTCCTCACAAACCGAAAGTCGTCATCACTCAACCCGTCCAGTGCATGGTTGTCCTTATCAAGTTTCATCAGGTTGAATGCCCTTGAAGCATGGAAGTTTTCGTTCACACTCACATCATTGTACACTATTGCCACCTGTGACCGAGTGTTGATGTGAAACTCGTTTGTGACACCTAGGAAACAGGCCTGCTTCAGAGACCCGCCACAAGCAAATGCACAACTGGAACGGCCACACGCTCAGTAGGCCATTGCCCCAAATTGCCATGAGGCAGAACACGCACTTCCCGAAATGGCGAGATGCGCCTTGTGGCAAACTGTGCTGTAACAGGGGAACCAAACACACAGTATACAATTCTGAACCTGTTCAAAAAAAAGAAAAAGAATGACAATCCAACTTGTGGAATCACTTGGAGACTGGCAAACATGGGACAGACACAACAGTTTTTAACACTGATGCCCTACACAAATAGATATGCATGCAAACAACGAGATAACTATTCCAAAAGACATGGCGCTGTTCATTCTTGAAGAATTGCATCAGATTTGAGTCCAGGCACCACCCCTGTCCTACCAGAAGAAGTACAGAAGATGGGTTTGCAACTCTGTTCCCAAACATCATGTGACAATGGGAGAAGATCAACTCAAATGGTGCACTGGGCACTCACGGCCTGTTGCAAACGAGTCGAGATTGGCTGACCTGGGTGGGCAACATCGTGGACAACAGCCGCCAACAGCATGGCGAGCAGCTCCAGATCGGTGAATCGTGACTTCAGATCGTCCCGCGCCAGAATCACGCCCAGGGCTTGGACCACGTCTGCGGCATGAATATTGTTGTGGTAAGGATTGTCAAGGTAGTTCTCTTCAACAGCCTGTGGACACGCGCACCAACAAAAAATCACAAGGAGATCGCATTATTTGAGGGTAAACGCTGGTACCTTTGCCGGAAAAGCGCGATTCCTTTAACAGCTAGTGTACACTGGACCTAAAACGAAACCGCCCTGATGATAACAGCTTGTTGGTGTGTCTGCCTCAGGCGTGTCAGGCTCGGGAGAAAACAGAACTCAGTGGCTTACACATGGAATCAATCTTGGCTGGTGTTCTCATGGACACTGCGTGCGGTGACCAATGCCTCACACAATGTGTCACATAGCCTCGCGTAGGCACAGGCCGTGACTCTTTGTGATCATATCTTTCGAGCTTAGCCTTGCCCTTCACTTTCTTGCAACGTGGCAAAGGCCCACATCACTTGTGTTAGGACAGGTGTACCTTGACTCTTGAACGTGATGTTGGATAGATTAGCGCTCTGGCTTTTGCATGGTCAAACAAATATAGTCAAAGGACTCTTCAATGGCACTGATATAGACCTGATCACCTTAAAGAACTTTGTCAGCTTGGCATAATCGAGGTTGAGTTTGGTGACCAATTCAAAGTCTTCCAGCATCGCCATTGCCACCACCTCCAGTGGTTTTCCCATCTCCGCCACTTTGAAAATGTCAAAATCCTCCCACGACTGTATCTGCAATATGTCTTCCACAAAGTATTAGAATTAATCATTTACAAAACTAGAAAACAAGCAAGCCTTGATTGCTAGACGTTCAAAGACTGGGTGCAACTAAAGAAACGGAATTCTCAACATGTGCCATCACATTCCATCACCTTTATGAAACCTGTGTCTAAAATCGGATGCGATGGGTGCCTCAAATATCTGCAAAGTCTGGCACATTTTTGCATACACAGGGATGGGAATCCCCCTGCACTAAAGCCGTGACACAAGATGGAGTGATGGAGGGTTGGCCAGGAATCCTTCCTTGTGAAGTATAAAAACACAGAAGATTGCAATACTGTATGCATACAGCTACATGAACAATAACACACAGGTCTTCATACACGTCCATTTTCAGTTCATTGACGCCACTAGCCAGCATCAAATTTTCCAGCAGTCTACAAGGGACTCAGAGTTCGTGGCGAAAACGACAACCCCATCCCATCTAATGATACAACACAAAGCACACGTGTCCCCAGAAAGCAAACACCCCAGTGACCCCACTCTTTAGGAAGGGGATGACACCTGGACTCTTAAGTGTGCTGCAATACTTTGGAACAAACAAAGCAATGTAACAACTGAGAAAGATGGTGTTGACAGTTCAGACATTTGGAACACCATTCATCTGCCAAAGTGGAAGGTGAGGCAGTAATGACACAAGATTACATGAGAACAGCCAATTGACCTTCACAGCATGACAGCTGACAGTGACAAGTGACAGCAAACCTGAAGGCCCACCTTTGCTACTTCTCCTGCCAGCATCAGGCTGCCAGATTCTCCCAGGCTGTGCTTCCGTGAAGACTGAAAGAATGATTAACAGAGGCACACAAGCATGAATAAGGCAACCCACAATGCACGCGTCATAAGGAAGGGGAGGACATAGGTAGTTCGTGAGTTTGGCACCCATGAAACCAGAACATTGCGAGCTTGGATGCTTGTGCTGCATGAAGAAGATAGGCACGCTTGCCCAGTGGCAATTCTTTCCTAAGGACAAATTTGCACGGCTTTTTTCGTGCCGTGAGACCACATGAAGGTTTACAGATTTGTGATGAGCTGCACACACAACAGAGGGCAGAATGAAGTGCGAAGCACGTGTGCTCCAAGGGAGGGGGAGTCACATGAACAAGTCCTTTTCAATGCCTGGCAGCCAACAACATGATTTCTGCAGCAACAGAGCGCCACGTTTCAAGTGCCAGCCCGCCAGAAACTAGCACTTAAGGGCTGCCAGCAACAATCTTTGGTTTGAGATGGCACCTCATCTCATGTGCTGTACAAAGCCTTTGGTGCCCAATGAACTAATGGCACCGACCACCACATCCTTTCGTCAATCAGTTTGGATTCCAACTACATGATGCTCCAGCAGTAAGGGCACAGCATCTGCAGTACCTGCAGTACTCTGACACGATGCGAGCCCCACATGCACCGCACAGCAGGAGTCAATTGCACTGGACTGAACCAAAATGCCTTGCACCTCAGCAGCAGACCATCGCAAGTTCGATGTGCAACGAGTCCAAAAACTGAAAACCGCTTGTGTCTCATCTAAAATGCAAAATCCAGAAGGGGAATTTCTAAAATCTAAAACAGAAAATGGAGACGGTCCACAACACGATGGCAACAAAGGGGGCAGTGACTTCTGTCCAGCTTGCTCACCAGGGATTCTGCACTTGGTGCTGTCCAATTCCTGCCTCTCTTCACCTGATGACAAGGAGCACCATCGTGTCAACAGCACACAGAAACAGCATTCATGACTCGACATGTTTTGGGTATGAAGTGCACACCTACAGTGCATAGACATTCTTCTTCGATCACACCATTTCGTGATGGATATTGGTGCTTAAGGGAGTCTTAGCTGGACTCTCCACTAGTTGGACATACTCCCAACATCGATTTGCAGCCGTAAGGGTAGTGCTTTGTATCTCCTTGACAGATGCAGCCTGCAGAGCAACACTGTTCAACGCCATTCGGCACGACACACAGCCCAGGTGCGCAGCTGGTGCTGCCGCGTATTGCTGACATCATGTTGGGTCCTTCTGTTCAGCAGCCGGTGACGAAACCATCAACCAAACACAAAAAAGTTTTCAAGCCAAACAAGGCCATGCCACTACTGTGCCAGCGTGCGGCATCAAAAAAAGCCTGAATTTTAGTCAAACAAGCCATGCCACTACTGTGCCAGCATGTGACGGCACATCACTACATGTGGTGGAACATTCCGGAGAGAAAAGGAAGATGCCCTAGTGTGGCCACAGCCTTACTTCAATTTTCCTCGCGCTGAAGCTCTCCCAGTATTGAAGGAGGTAATTCTCAGCCAGGGGGTCGAGCTTGGGATTGTCTTCTCCGATGGATGTCCCATCCTCGAATTTCATCTTGGACAGCCATTCTGTGAGCTGCCGCAAGGCATCCTTCTCATGTTTAGACTCACTTCGACCCTGCACGCACACACATATCCATGCTATCACCACTATGTGCCATTGCATGTCGAGTGTGTCACCAGTATATCGGAGCTGTAATATTGGTACATTATTGGTATTATTCTGCAACCCAAACAGCCTGATTTCACACAAAGGGTCACTGTACCTCGATGTATTGGAGTTGCATGGTTCTATGAAACCGACGTTTGCTAAATCCCAGAATGGTTTCATAAGAGAGGGTGTTGGTGTGTGTGACTCATTTTGGGATGCCATGAACATTTTGCCACTCATTGATGCATGCCCACAATCGCCCCAGGCCCATCTCCTAAGGAGGCTTATGGCCTCCAACAACTGGCGGCCAGTCGCATCTACAATAATGTTTCAACCTCAAAGTGAAGGACCCACATGGAGGCACTGGAGGAACAAAAAGCATTTCTCATCGCATCTGCCCTAAACGACACAACGTAGCAGGGAGTGGGTCCTTGCCAGCCAAGGCATAGGGCTGCTTTTCCATCCATGGCTCTCAAAATACGACAACAGTTCACAAAGATGAAGATCAGTTGCGTTTGCAAGCCAATGCTGCTGCTAGTCGTGTTGCAGGGGGGTTGCAACATTGAGAGTGGCCATCCCGCCTCTGCACACACCCTGCCACAAATCCGACCTCTGGCTTTGTTCCCATGTGTTGCTAATCCGAATACAGGAAGCTGCCAAACCCTAAGAAAGCATCACGCCCCAGTCTCGTGCGTGTAGGTGTGCGAATAACTTGGGCCCGGCAGCAAGCCCATGGCTGCAGGTCGGATAGCCACCGCGTTGTTGCTGAGTGCCATTTCAGTGCTTGTCTTGGGGCCCAACAAAATCCATGGCAAAGGCACTTTACTGTCGACGCACACGTCGGCTGGCGGCGGCGTCGCGGAACGCCTTTTGCATGCGTCGCAGACTGGTAGCGAGCAGAAAAGTGGGAAGGGACAAACGCCTTGAATGTGCGCGCGCCCACCATCACCTGGACGGCACAGGGGCTGATTTTGGTCTCGCGAGGGGGAAAAAGCAGCTCGGACAACTCGGCGGCGCGAACGCAACGTGCACAGCCCCTTCGCGAGCCGGCAAAACAGAGCGGGCTGCCGCCATCACGACATTTGCGGCAACAGCTTGCGCTGCCGCAAAAAGGACACATCGGGCACTGTGGGGCCGCGCCCTGCCCTTCCTTCCTCAGAGCCCCGCTCCGCCTCGCGGCTGCCTCACGAATTGATGGCGCGCCCGTTGCCGCGCTTGGCCTTCAGCTCGAATTGTGCCCCCTCCGGGCGGCGTGAGGCGCGGGCACAAGCAGGGTTCTCGATGGCGCCCCAGCGACTAAGGGCCCCCCAAAATCCGCCAGTTGGGCGCAAACGCCGGCGGCAGCCACCATCCGGGCTCCGGGCTCAGCTTTCCGTCCCCATCCGCCTTCACGCCGCCTCAGAAAATTCCCGACATTGCCTTACGGATGCCCATATAAGCTTCACCTCTTCGCGACGATTGCGCTAACTGGCGAGCCAAACGAAGGGCTGCACGGCCGGGGCAGGCCGAAACACGCGCCGAGACGGCCGATGGGCGGACGTTGGAAGTCCCACGCCGGGGGCAACGCCGGAGAAGCCCGGAACAATAACTCGATCTGATGCCAAAATGGGCCATTCGGCGCCCATCCAGGCATCGGTGACCAGCAGGGGATCCCTGAGGGCCCGCCAACGCCGCGGCGCGCCACACGGATCCGGCGGGGGGCAATGGCGCAGCAGCCCGGCCAACGATTCCGGAAGGGTTGGTGTCGAAGCCAGATGGCCGTGACGTCGGCAATGGCGGAGGCATCGGGCGCAAAGGGCCGAATTGCGGCGATTGGACGCCGGCAGCAGGGAGCAAGCCGACGGGGGGCGCGGGATCCCAAGCCCCGACGAATCATCGCGACCCGCGCTGCGCCCCCGCCGCCCCTCACCTCGATCCTCTTGAGCACGCCAATGCAAGTGCTCACCACCTCCTTCGACATCTCCCCGGCCATGGTCACCTCGCCCTCACATGCGACCGGCCGCTCTCATTGGCGCCCGCCGCCAAGGCCCCGGCGAAACGGCACCCCCGAACCGGTGCCCGACCGCCGCAGATCGCAGAAAAGGCCGCGCGGAACGCGCAGATGCCCCGCAAGGGATCTGTGCACCGGCCCTACGACTCCCGGCAAGGCCGGCGACCGGCTTCCGGCACCCGTTTTCTCCACAAGGCCCGCTCCAGAACCCCTCAGAAAAGAGTCCAGGCGCTTCACCGCCGTCCCAAAGCGAGCTTTCTGCCCTCTGCGGCGCCTCCCGAGTACCGAAACGGGGCTGCGAGGCTGGCCGGCGAATCCGAGGGAAGCTGGGAGGGGGGGTAGGCCAACGGGGGGATGTGGGGCTAAAGATCTCCGGGGGGGGGCCGGCGCGGCTGCCTGGACCCCTCCCGCGCCCGACTGCGTGCCAAGGGTCGCCCACCTGCACCGACACCGAGTAGTCAGTCTCACACCCGCCCGTCTGGCGGCCGGGGGGGCGGGTGCCTGGGTCGTGCCGGTGGGCGGGTCCCGCGCCCCGCGGCCCGCCGGGATGACAAATGGCGTCAGCGTGACGTTGCTGCGGAGGAAGGAGGCGTGATGGGCGAGCGCGGAGATGCAAGAAGGGTTGCTGCACTACACCCGTGTGCTGGTGTGCATGGAAAGGGGGGTTGAGGAGAACCTGTTAGTCCGTCCATCCTTTCCGTGAAGATGCTTCTCCTTCCGCTGAGGAGGCCAACGCCGGTCAGTGGGTCAGTGCTCTAGGATTTTAGGGTTTGGGATGTCGAGACAAGAAGGGATCTTCACGGAACAGGCACAGGGACTAATTGGGTGCCGGGGATGAGGTTCGTGAATTGCATGCGACCGAGGCCGCACCCCTCCTTTTCCTCCCGACGTTTGAGGGAGATGCGGGCGGGGGTTGGCCGGGACAGATAAGAGCGCTCACACGTGGACAGGGGGTGGGGTTTGGAGCGCGGGATGGGGGGTTCCTTGCGGTTAAGAGGGGGGAATTGGATTGCGTCCAGCTGTCTTCGCAAAAATGGAAAGGGAGACATTTTTTCATTTTTTTTCAATTTTTCTTTTTGTTCACTTTGCTTTTGGGTGCTGTTTAATGCAAGGATGACCAGACTTGGTGCGCCATTTTGCGGCAATTTGAGCAATTGGTTGTTTGCGGGCGTTGGCGCAGGCAGGTGGGTTGTTTGGGCTCGGTTGCCTTGCTTGCTGTTGCTTTCCGTGGTGGGGACGGGCTGCCGGCTGCTGGCTGGGCCTGAAAACCGGTGGCCAAAATGGGAACCTGTGAAGCGGCCTCATGCGTTGATGTCCGTTGCAGCAGGGGCTGCTGAACGAGAGTGCGACCGTGGGCTGTGGTCTTCCTGATAGCAAAATGTTAAAATAGGAGCCTTGCTGGGCTGTCCCTTTGTGCTGTGAAAGATGCCACGAGGGCAGATTTGAAGCCCCGCTATGTTGCAAGGTGGCAGGAACCCCACACCGCCTGGCAGGATGGCAGTGGAGCTGGAAGGTCCCGCATAGGTCATTACTGGCTGGGAGCTCTCCAAAATGCAATTGAGCATTTGCAATTAGCTCTTTGGAACATGGCAACTTCCAGAAAGTGTCTCTGTGAAGTTGTGCTTAGTATCTCCACACGAATGTGATGAGGTCGAGGATGGATGCAGACAAAGTGCCAGTGTCTCCTGTACTGCTGACGTTGTTCTACATTGATTGCGCAAACGGCCCATGTGTGTGTCTTGATCCCACACACGTGGGACGTTTTGGCAGCGCACTGATGTAGTGATCAGTGACGCATCAATGCATTGCTTTGATGCATTTGCCGTGCTTGTGTCATGGAGCTATGGAGACAACCAAGCATTTCTGGGGACCAATATCGCGGGCGCAGGGGTGCCAGTCAACCCCCCCAAGGTGCAAGGGCACAGTGATTGAAACAGTTTGACCACAGTGGGCACAAGACACATTGCACAGAGTGCTCTGCCACAACAACTTTTCGGTAGCACAGAACAGTACATTAGCCGGCCGTGCAGAGTCACTCCGGAACATTGAAGCAACGGGGGAGCAATGTCCACCTACACCTTCCAAGAGTTCGTGTTGGATTCCAACCCAACAAGTCCGAGCACAGTGCCACAGAACGTTTCTGGAAGTGCAGAGCTCCGAAACAGAGTGGAGGGCAAGTCCTTACTGCAAGCCGGCACAAGGAGGGAGCGACGTTTAATGGCGCGAATCCAGAGAAATGCGTTGCAAGGCACTCTGGAAAAATGGATGTGTGAGAAGGGTACTCGAGGTGGGCAGATTCGGTTACAGCTCCGTAGACCGCGTATCAATCCCAGGGATAGCACCACGTCCCAAAATCATCCAAACCGCTTTGGATAGGATACACAGGGTGGGATTCAACCCCAAGCTTTCTTTCGGGCTCAGTGGGCCTCAACACCTGCTCTATGCGCTGGCGTTCAACGTTGCACCAATAAAACATGACAGAAGAGCTGTTGCCGGCACGGGAACTGCCGCCCATTTCCTGGTGCCTTCCGAGGAGGCCCCATTTCGGCACACACGCACACCCAAACACACACCCCAGGCAGTGGGGGCCCATCCCATGCCTGGCACACTCTTCGGTTCAACGTCGCCAAAGCGATTTCCGCGCAGACGGACGGGACCCTTCCAGCAAACAGCCCCGCAACTTCCAGGGCAGTCGAGCCTCTCCTCGGCGCATTTTTTCAACCATGACATTTTGGCCGCAATGCTGTCGGTGGGAACAAAAACTTGCAGCGGCGAGGGGGCGATCGAAAGGGGGGGGGGACAAGCGCGCCCAGCAGCGCCCAGTCCGGAGGAGACCGCGAGGAAGCTGGGCAACAAGGTCGAGCGGGCATGGGCGGTGCACATCTACACAGCCAGCCGTGCACCGGATTCCACCAATGGGCGTTGCGAATGCGTTAGTTGCGCGTCGGGGCTATTTGAGGGACAAGAGCGGCGAGCAGGGCGCCCTTCCAGCCAGCGCCCCCACGAGATGCGAAGCTGCATCAGCAGGGGCAGTGGATGGGCGGATGCCAGGCGGCGTCCGGCGCGCTCCCGGCGCATGCCAATCCAGTCGTTGCCGAAGCGAGGCTTTCGGGAGAACGAGCATCCCTATTACGGAGTGAGACCGCCCGCGGCACTATCGGGATGGCTCAAGACGACCCCGGCGGCCTCCGCTCTTGCGCGATCCCACGCAGGCGGTTCGCCGCGCGTCCTTCCATCCACCCCGTCCGCAATCTGCCGGCCAAGGCGATCACCAGCCCCCCGCAACACCCCAAACCATGCGTCCCGAAACCCCCCTTGCAAAGCCAGCAGCGCATCCCCCCCTGCTACTGCTGCGCCCGATCGGGCCCCCTATTGATCCGCCACGACGAAAAAGAGCCGCCGATCCCGCCAATTCGCCGCGATGCCACAAATTGCCGTCAACAGGTTCGCAAATTCTTGAGGCTCGAAAGACGTCACATGAATTCGCCGCACCTCCGGACGCGCGTCTGCGCCTTGGCGCGATGGGCGGCCTCCGTGACCTCCGCTCCGGAAGCAAACTGCTTGCGGGCTCGCCAGAAGTCTTTCGATGCCGCAGGCGTCAACCCACCTTGGGGGGCGGAGCCGCTAGAGTCAGAACAACCGTTATCCCGCTGCAAGTCCCCGAGTCTTTCAAGCCCGCCGTTCACGGCTGGATGGCGAACTTCATGTGTCACCGCTGCCGGCGCCAGCCAGGGGGAAGGAGGTCCCCCCAGTGGCAGCTGCCTTGAAGGCGCGGGCGGAAGCCAGCACCGGCGGGCCCGTCCGGCTGGGGCGGTCTGGGGCGCGCACAACGCACTGAGGATGCGATGCGCGCGGAATGATGTACTGGGGGAGTGGGCTGATGGGTCCCGTTGGCCCCGTTGCCGTGTGCCGCCTGGTCATCGTTTGGGACACGCTGCGTTGGATGGTGGCCCCTGCGGCTTCCTCCCGGTGGTTGCAGAGTCGGGCGGCCAGGCAGCTGCTAGTCAGCTGGCAGACGGGCTCATCGACTGGTCGGTCACAGACCCTCTTCCGGTAACAATTGGTGTAAGAATCAGCACTTTGCGGTACCTGCTTGTGCCCGGATGGTTGCGTGGCTTGACACTGTTACTGCGTCGCCGCTAGGCGTTGTGGGGCACTGACAGGGACTGGCCCGCGAATCGTGGCTTGCAAACAGCCGCTCGTGCCTTCCTAGTGGGTCTTTCAGCGAGTAAGTAAGACAGCGAGAAAGACAACGAGTAATTGTATATCAATAATTAGACCTTAGCGACTACATCATATGCTGTTGAAGTACATGGCTTGTGAAGAGCGAGCAATCGAGCGAGCGACTGGAGTCGTTCTTTGCATGTGGGTGTCACTGGGCAATGTCGTCTGGAAGTTCCCACCTGCGGGGAGGCGGTTCCATGTGAAGTTCCCACAAGGTAACGCACAGCGAGAAAGAGAATGGTGATTGCATTGTCGCCCTTCTGGAGATGGCCCTCAAGGACATGGCGGCCACCCCCCAAAAAAGTTGGGGGCGCTCACCAAAGAGTCTAGGTGTCGCTGTCCAGGCAAGCATACACGGATGGGCAGCATGACAAATTGTGGCATGAAACAGCTCGTGATTTGCTCGCGTCGTTTGTAACTTCGTGCAGGGGTCGCACACAACACCACGTGCTAGCTTTTGTTGTTTTGAAACAGCAACGGCTAGCACGTGTTATTGTGTGCTGCCCCTGCATGGAAATACAAACGACATGAGCAATCCACCATCTGTTGTGAACAACTCCAGGCATCACTCCAGCTGCCACACACGACGCGTTTGAGCTAGCTGTTTGCCGTATATTAGGCGGCAAGCGTCTTACAGATACACGATGGATGATGTGATACACGGCGAATGGGGACGAAGCTTAACTTGCTGGCGTCAGCATTGTGAATCATCGGGCAGAACACGACCCCTGCACTCTCCAAACCCAATTCTACGGCCGTTGGGGCCTGCGCAGTGCCCCTTCAAGATGACCGTGTCACCGTCCATGAGGTAACACCTGTTGTGGGTGGAGCCACCGCATTCGAAGGCAATTTGGCGCTGCCCGGCCCAAGACAGCTCCAGCAGGCTCCCTGGTCCGTCCTGCGCAGGCCGCAGGCACAGGAAAATTGTCATTTGACATATCGCCACAAAGCACAAGGTCAAGCCCGTCTTTGACGACATACATATGCCACTGCGAGGGCTGTTGAATATATCAATAAAATTAAATCAACAAAATTAATGATAATATATCAATACAAAAGCACTCCACTAGCAAAAAATGGGACCAAAAACAAGGTTGAAAGCACACGATTTTGCCCATTTTGGACACGTATTACGCTATGTGTACACGATTGTTAGCAACATGAACCGATTTGTACTCTACGTAGAGTTGTGTGAGACGGTCTTTTATCGAAGGCAAGTCAAGGCAACAAGGTGCCGTCAGCCCCCCATTTCGCCCAAGGAAAGCAGCATCAGGAAACCAATCAAAAGTAGCCTGGCTTGCTTCTATTTACTCGTACATTGCGGATGCTTGCTTTCGTTTACTGGCGCTTTACTTACTTATGCTTCCTTTCACGGTTGCTTGCACCAGACGCATGTCCAGTCAACAACCACGGCGATTCGGGTACGCTAGGAGCGCGCCCAGAAACAGCACCACAACTACCGGAAAGGCGCCACATTCGTGATCGCCATTTCACGAGTTGGCGCATTTCTTAAGGTGGTTCGCACCACGCGGCCATGGCAATTCAACACGATCAAGAAATGTGCGTATTTCAACATCGAAATAGCGTGAAATGATCAGCCCTGGTATCCCCCGCAGCTCTGTGCGTGGTGTCAAGCCCGACACCGCCTTCAAAGAGGATTGTTCGATACCTATCGTCACCGGATATGAAGGTCAAGAAGGGGGGTCATGAAGGTCATGAAGGGCCGTAAGACCTAAAACCAAATGGCGTGACATAAAACCTAAAAAGCAAGTCGAAAAGCCTGGGCACACTCGAAACCCGAAACGACTTCAATGGCGTTCGTAGCCTTCATGACCTTCGCAACCTTCATGCCTTCATAACCTCATGACCCTCATGACTTCATATCCGGAAATGAAGGGTGTCAGGTTTTTGTGCCTTTAGGGAGCGAGCGCAGCACTTTGTCACATTTCGATAACTACAATCAAAGGATTGAGGTACCTCGCAACTGATGGTGCCCGTTCCAAGCAAGTCCCCTGGTCTCAGGTTGCAACCGGAGCTCGTGTGGTGGGCCACCATCTGCGGAAATGTCCAATACCTGTACCGACCACGGCCGCGCACGTCAGAGGCGCCAATCAACATTAATCGTTCAAAGCCCACCCAGTTTGTGACCACACAAAGCACAAAATGTTCAAACAAGAGGGTGGCTGCGACTGTAGGTCTGTGAACGCGGCAAGCCTGGCGTGTGCCCGGGAACGGTGCTTGTGTCCGTACTGGCGACCAAAACAAGCGCCAAAATACAGTAAACTACAGAGCAAGAACGGTATAGAAGACCAACACAAAGCGCAAACAAACTATGTGCGCACGAGCTCAAACATAAAAAATATAGCATACATAGAGCATGCAGGATGAAGTCGACAGAAAACGGTTGTCGCGTCAGAAAAAGAAAGAAAAGGCTCTCAGCCCAGAAGGTCAATCCAGCGAGCCAATGCTGATGTCACAAAGTCCCACCAGCGGACATGCGGGCCACGGCAGGGGTGTGAGCGAAAAGCAGAAAGTGAACGTCAACTGCCGAGACCACCGAGAATGCTACATGCATGGTAGAGCGACCTTCGGGCTGCCTCTTCGCACATATGTCCAGGCTTGGTTTTCATAAATACAAATCGTATGTACGCCTTGCTGCGGGTGCTGGAGATGGCGGACGACTGATCATTTTACGATACTTCCATAGCGGAACCTAGGTGTCCCAGCGAGCCGTCAAAACGCAAAAACAGCCGTAAAAATAGCCCTGTTCGCAAATTGTATTAAATTAAGTTTACGTTTTTACATTAAGTTTGCGTTTTTACGTGTAAAAAGGTAAACGTAAGCACCAAGCCTGTATGTGTCAAAGCAAGACAAGCACTCCCATTGCACCGGGAAGGCAACAGGATGCACGACTATGTTGAGAACGGTTGTTCGAGCGTGCTTTTCATTTCCCGTGCTCCGCACAGTCACCTACAGGTGTCTCAGATTGGACGCTGACACTGCCGCGGCCTCTGAGGAATCGCGAGGCTGAATCTGAACTTCCAGCTGGACGTCGTACGTTGTCCGGTGCTGCTCCCGCAAGTAAGGGAGCACGGGGGGCTCCTGGACCGGCGCTGGACACTCAAAGGGCTCCAAGGCGTCCAACGTGACAACCCAAGGCGAGACTGTGGTGGCCTGCGTCGGACGCACACGCTCATGGAATTGCACCTGTCATCGTCTTGCAGGCTCTGGACAGTGACACTATTCTGGAGAACAGTTCGTTCCTGACAGGAAAGGAGGCGGCGCTCCTCACAGGGCTCCAGCACTCTTAGATCAGCACCTGCAGGCCTGACTCGTCCATGGCTGCTACCCAGGCAAGGACATTGGCTAATGGACTGGTCTATTGATCTATTCGCTGGCTGGCTGACGGACTGACAAATCTGCTGATTGATCAATCGCCCGTGCGTGCAACGTTGTGCCATGCTTTGGCGGAAACATGCAAATCGAATTGTGCCTCGTTCAGCACCGCGGAAATGTACATCTTTGCTTGCCCATCACTTGCAAAGGTACTGAACGCACCATCACTAAATTCAGAACTACCAAGTCAGCTTCCCAAAAAAGCTCAACAGAGTATGCCACACCCGTTCGAGCAGGTCAACATCCAAAGAACGAGTGGCTGACGCCACCACGGCACTATCTGGAGGTAGTCATCACTTGAATGTACACAAAACTGAGTGGAAACATCACACAGGTCCTTTCAGCAGCGATGCGGCACAGCATGCATGAATAACATAAAAACTGGGATTAGTTGGGTTGGTGGCACCAAATCAAGCCAAGGCAGTTTCGATATATGTTCTGTTGCCCTCATAAACAAGGGCAGTTCTAAAATACGCGGATGCTGCCATCCTGCCTTCCTTTCATATTTAGGTTCTTGTCAGCCACGTGTACACAGGCCCAATGTGAGTTCATGAGCAAACAGGAAACAAACAAGCAGAGCTCTTGAACACATTTGTGTGCCACATCCCAAATCTCAGAGGTGCTTCCATCGACTTTGGCATGTCTTGGCACTTGTTCATGCAAACAAGTAAGATCTTCAATTTCCCTTGTAGCCTTGCCACAGAGAGCTCCCGCCACAATGGAACTCCTTGGCATTGGGGAACCTGCATTTCATGTGCTTCTTCCACTGTTTTGCCTGCTATTTGGAACGTTTGGACGCATGACCGTTTGGATGGCTCACCCAGTTCTTGCCGTTGAATGGACCAAGCGGCACATACTCCCATTTCTGTATGTCTCTTGCGCTCCAGTCGTTCAGCAGGACGATACCAAAAATGTGCTCTTTGGCAGATTCGATGGGTATAGGGCTCCCAAGCTGATTGCCAGGACCAACGAAGGCTCCCTGATGGACAGAAACATATCCAACACTCTCTGCCTGACGCGGTCTAATACCTTGCAACTGAAGCATCAGTGTGCAAAATCGTTGCATCGAATCGAACGATCTCCACAGCAGTACTTGCTACCTCAGTGGTGTGACATGATAGGTCACGTTCACCAGTACGAGGTGAAGGATGTGAGATCATTCCATACTGTTGTTTGCAACCATTAACACCATCTCAAGGACACCTTGTGGGTTCATTGCAGCTTGATAGTGACTCACAACATGTGCTATGGCTCTATGGGCCTTTGTTGGGGAGAGGACACGACCCTGTTGCAAACTGGCGAACCTGCATCGACTTGTTTCCGCACAGCAAAACAAGTGATGGGCACCCACCAACTTGCGCAACAACAGAACTGTTGGGAGTAATGGGGTCATATCTTCCTCACATGAAAGCAGCCTGCTGCTGTAACAGGGGGCGCCAGTCACAGTTATGGGTACTGCCCACATAAGCCCTGCAGATGGGCATTCATCGCCTAGAAAATGCAGTGTCGCTTCTCTGCCACGTTGTGGTGGAACATCGAATGGGCCATCAAGTGAATTTTCAGCCACTTGAACGGAAATGCATTGAATTAATCGTTGCCACAAGATGCAGGCACTGTGCTACTCACTCGCAGCTGCTGGGCAACATCGGGTGATTCACATGCACAATTGTTCCACATTTCTGTTCTTTTCCCTGCTCACCCAAGGCAATGACATCATTTTCAGCCAGCACAACGCTGCATTAGTGGAAATCACAACATCTTGATAATCTCAGCATCCACTCTCACATCTCTTTTCAGCCTGTACATTCTCTATGAGTGGGTGCAGCCGCTGGGTCTGCAATTACCCAAAATGGCATGAATGTCAGTGGTTTCAAGCACTTTTGACAAAAGGTATGAATGATGACTTCTTTTGCAGTGGAATCACCAGCTTTCATGTGCTTCCTCACCATTTCCAACTCAAAGTCCACAACAGCGCTTGGCACAAAGTGTGGCTGGGTGCTTCCGGGCTTCAGTGTCTGGCCCCTGGGCATCCCAGCTGCCTCAATCAGGTTTTTCCACGTGCCTTAAGGCAACCGTGCAGATACCATCCTTTCCATTACTTTTGCAGAACATGGAGCACAGTGGAATTTCGCCCACAAGGTGGTGACAGGTGCACTCCCATCCAAACTGCATGGAGCTTTTATTTGGTTTTGTACATAGCTCTGTACTCCGTAGGCAACACATAAGTTCTTGAACTGTACTTGGCCTCTGCGGACCACCGCAAGGCCTTGGGGCAGGTTTTCTGGCAGACCTCCCACCTTGGTCTCTTCACATCAGTGCCTGATGGCACAATGGATGATGCTCGTCCGTGGTAAGCCACTGGCAAGTGGCACCTACCATAGAAAGAATCCAAAACAGAAAGTTAGTGTGTCCCCAATATCTGATTCAGTTCCTGGGAATTGGGGCCAACCACAACTGCACCTTTCTGCACCCCATCACTGGCAACTGCAAGGTCATTGTCTTCCATGCCTCCTTCTGATGAATGCAATCCATCGAATTTTCCAGTTTAGTTAATGTGCCCAATGCGAGCTCTGCTGAAATCTGCAAGCCATTGTGGTTTAGTTTGGTTTGGCAGCTTGTTCGCTGCCAGGCAATACACCAATACATTAGCCTTTAGCCAAAGGCCAGCACCTTAACAGTACCTGATGCATTTTAAAGGGCAACAATTGTGCACAACAAAAGGTGCTTTGAAATCACCATGGCACCACTGGCTTCGTATCGTCAAGGCTAATCAACGCACCTTGATGACAGTTCTGGAAGGACGCTAACACTAGTCCATGGATACTAACGTGTTTGGATCCCAAGAGAGGGAGGTGGATACTACTAGGGGGTGGACTCAAATGGCAGGTGATTACAGTCGTTCAGACACTGCTGTGCAACATCGTCGCCTGCAGGGCGTAAGTGGTGGGATTTGTCGTGTGCTGTGGAAAACCACCAGACTTCAAAACAGGAAAAGTGCAGAATATGTACAGCAATACATACAGTATGTCACCCTGCCTTCATGGGTGGGGTGGGCGCAAGAGCAGAGGTGCAGAAGAACAGCATGTCCACACCACAGTTTTAGCTGAAACTATAGGCAGTTTAGACATAATAGGCATTTCCGCACTTTAGTCTGGGTATAGTGTGCCCTGACGGGTCACAGGACTACGATTTCATCCAAAAGACCACATCACTAGTTGGCTGCTGTGTATAAGTCCAAGAACCCGGGTGCATCATGGGCCACTCACCAGTTGGGCTGCAGGGCATTATCCTTTCCACGGAATATAGTTCCCACATTTGTTGCATGCTCCTTGGAAGCATAAAAGTCTGTGTAATCCCCAATTCGCGCTGGCAGATGCATTGTAACTTCGCTCTTCACATGCAGAGGCACATACACACCCTGGGGTTAGCTGCAAAAAATGTAAATCCATTGATCGAGACATCACCCACACCAAGCCATCAGCCAAAAGATGAAAATCTGGCTTCCTAACAGACAGGATATTTGTTGCGCAATCAAACCCAACCCCCACCCATCCCCTCCTTCCCCTTGCACAGAATACTGCAAGATTTTTTTCCCGTCTTGTGCAAAGTACTGCATGAATCGGCATGTGCAGCTGGACAATGTCTGAAATGGAGCAGCATAAGTGGCACAGGAGAAAGCAATCAATGGGCCCCACATCAGCGTGAGTGTGAAGCATTCGTAAACTACATTTGCTGGGAAGCAAGGAAGGCTGAGACAGCTGTGTCGGCAGGTGAAAACGTAGGGCCTTTGCATGTTTTGGGCGAAATCACTTGATCCAAAACGGATGCCAATACATTCAGCATTGTTGAAGCCTCGTGATCTGCTCCATGTGCAGATGGAACCAAACACTAAGGACCCAAACATTGACCTCAGACCCTTGAAAGTGTTTGGGCCCTCTTGTCACCCTTTTCTGCTGTGGACTCATGCAGGCGAGCACACAAGGCTCTTACGCATTCCACGTCCCTTAATCTGCTCATGATTCCAGACAGAGGCAGGCTATGCCTCAAGGCAAGTTCGAAGACATGGATGCAATAGACATCAGCCAGCACAAGACAGCGACATCCGCCATCCAATGCTGAACCTCCGTGCAGTCTGAGCAGTGACAACCCATGCCCCGCATCCCTTTCTAAGAGCCCATGCCAACGGCACAGTGCCCGTCATGCGCCATTACAGAACGCCTTACAGAATGACTACCCCACTGCCTGTAATCACCTGCCAGGTGGGTATGCACTCTTCCATCCTGCAAAGGCAAAGGTAGCCACAGAAACGGAACAAATTGAATGGCACAGGTCCACGTTAATGGAATACTAGCCATGCAATAGCACAATAATAATAGCAGTAAGTGACATCATAAATGCATAAATGGTATGTATGTGCAACAAGTCCATATTCTCTTTTGAAACAACATGTCAAAAAACAAATCAACGAGACAACAGTCGAGCACTTTCCTCTTGCACAAGGGGATTTCTGCAGCATCTGTGACAATGGAAGAAAAGAAAACAACAACAGCTGCACACACCTGTGGGATGAGAATTTTCTCCTGCAGTGTGCGATCATCCCTCAGCACACCCTCTGCTGAGCTGAGCAGCCGAGTCAGAGTAGTTCGGGCCTCTTGCCAGGCCGCGTAACCAAGGGCCATGAATTCGTTCAGGGAGCCCTGGAACAGATTCATAAAGACATTCTGTTGGCAGGAACCAACATTCACTGCATGGACGGGTGAATTGACAACATCTTTATTCAGGAGATCTCCACCGCAGTGCACCCTTTCCCTGCTGCAAAGAATCTTGCATGCAGTGGTGGCTCTCCCGCTAGCACAGTTCTTGTGGAGCTCTCTCGCCCCAGGAGATGATGCTGAGTGAATGAATGTATCCATGCCAACAATTCGCTCATGGCACTTTGGCCATGGCACATGTCTCCACAGATTGTGGAGCGTTGGACAACATGCAGTTTTTCTAGAGGTCTGCAGGGCCATCAAAATGCTTGGCAAGAAGATGATGCAGAGTTCTCCAAGAAGGAATGCTGGTTGCAGCACAGGGAGCACAGCACAAGTCACCAGCCAACCAGTTATGGAAATATGCGAATGTGGCCTGGTAGGTGCCATTAACAGTACACCCACCATGTTGATAAGGAGGGCACCAACAGACAAACACGGTGGCAGCCTCAGTCACCCCTCCAATGCTTTGAGTTACATTTCGTCTTCACCATTCTCATACGCAATTCTCCACAGACAATTTCCTTGTGCAATCCCTTACGTCCCTTGGATGGCATTCACCTTTGCAACATATTACAGCCATGTGCGATGCACCAACTTCCACACAATGGAAAAAGAGTCTGGCCTTTCTTTACCAGGAAGGCATCGCCAATTATATGAAATGTTTTCTTTCGCTTGACAAGGAGATCTACTTCGCAACATAAAGCAAGGTCCTTGCACCTTGCAGACAGCACCAGGGATCTGGTTGCACACAACTAACAGTTTGTATGCTCTGCATTCGTTCATGTCACCATTCGCCACCCATTTGCAACACGCAAAAGCCGTGCATCAAATGCACACATATCGAAAATAAATATTGATATGTCAAAATTTCCCACGCCCAAATACTCTGTCTCCAAACATTCACACAAAAAGTCATTGGCGTTGCCTGTGAGCATGGCAGTACTCTCCTCGGACTAAATGAGCACAACAATCAGCACAAATTAGCATGTATTAGCATAAATTAGCGCAAATTAGCACAAATAAGAAGGATAAAATAAGCACAAACTAGCCCAGTATCAGCACCGCCAGCATAAGTACTTTAGCCTTGCACCGTTTCTGCACGAAAGATGCCGTTCTTGCCTTACGAAAGCAGTCCGCGCCGGACAGCATGGGTCCAGTGAAGGCGCCAGCCTCGGACAGCGTCCCCAGGTCTACGACATGCTCCCCCAGTGCAACGCCGACGCGGCCGCAGCAACAGGAAGGATCGCCCCCTGGACCAAATGGAGAACGCGTCGCACAATTGGCGTCAAAAACCAGGGCAAACCTCCTTTCGCGGTTGGGCGATTGTGCATTGGCTGCCTTCAGTGGCTGAGAAAAAGCGGGCCAACCACTCTGTACATGCCAAGGATGGGGCACGACTTGTAGAGTCGCAACCTTTGCACAAAAGGGTTCCCCATTTGATGTCAAACTCTCCCTCTCCTAGCGCAGTTCTCTTCCACAGCGGGAAGGAGGACGCAGAAGACTGCGAGCCGCGAGCGCGGCAGGCACCGCTTTGATCAAGGCGCTCCGTTGAGCTACGAATCAATGCGCTGCGCGTTGGTCAGCCACCATGCCTGCCAAAAGCGCTTCCGACATTCTTCTGCATGCTTCGAAAGATGCTCCTACAATACTGCTCCCTACACTGCGCAAGACGCTCTTGCCCAACTCTCCACACTCCATGCTGCATGCACGGCAGATGGCACCAAGCGAAAATGGGGAACGGCGACGCATGGGCGCTCACCAGATTGGCGCCGACGAGAGAACACCCCGAAGGGCAAGTTTTCAAGGGGGAAGTCGGAGCCGGGCGCCACGGGGACGAAGGTGTCGAGCGCCATTGGGCCCTATCGGCCCGGTTGGGCGTCTCTGGCGGGGCCATGACTTGTGGCGCGTCCGCTGCTGCCCTGGCAGTGACTCAATGCATGTGTGGAGCCAACCACTCAGGGTGTGAAACTAGTCCTTCAGCTTTTCTGTGTTCGGATCCCATCTTCTCCTTGGGGGAGCACTAGACCCTGCTAAAACGGCAGAAAAAGTGCTTTGTCACGGAAAGACAGTGCTTTTTAACGGAGAAAAGTGCTTTGTCATGGAAAAGTGCTTTTCCCATTATCAATGGTGCTTCTGAGCAGTTGCAAAATGCAAGTGCTCAGAGAGCGAGAAGAGGCACTAAACAGCGCGGAAGAAGTGTTTTTTTGCCGCGATCTTCAGTACCTCCGAGCACATGACTAAAGCCAGTGCTCAGAGAGCGATAAGATGTACCCAGCACCCCGAGAAAAGTGGTTTTCTTTATGATAAAAGGTACCTCTGAGCAGCTGAAAACTGCGCGTGCCTTGAGAGGGAAAGAGGTACCAAACACCGCAAAAACAGCGTTGTAACCCGCAGTACTACTGCACAAAGCTCGCATTTGTTCGAGGGGTTGGGACGCTCGGGCCACCGGAGACCGCCACGCCAATGGCCGCCCGCGCCTCCGCCGGCGTCCGGGACGCTGGTCCCAGCCACGGGGATGCCGCGGCTGCGGACAACCTGGTGGTCTTCTACACCAAAGATCCATTCAGGCTCGCCCCCGCCCCTCAGAAGATTCGTCAGATCGAGTTTGGGATTCAATGCCCCGAGGAGATTTCGCGGTGCGGGGAGATTCACGTGCACGAGTCGAAGTTGTACAAGATGCCAGAGAGGAGCTCGCACCCCGGGGGCGTTCTGGACGGCAGGCTGGGGATCAGCAACAAGCAGGCGGTGTGCCAGACATGCGAGCAGAGGCTGCAGGACTGCGCGGGGCACTTCGGGTTCATCAGGCTGCACCTGCCGGTCTTCCACGTGGGGTACATAAACAACGTGCTGCAGGTGATCTTTTGGCGTTCATTTCAGCGCGATCAATCACGCTCTGGGTCATGTTGTGGGCTGTGCGTCGCCGCACAGCGTGAGGCACGTGTCTGATCTGTTTGGACGAGAGCAGGATGCGGACTATCGATTATGTTGCAGTTTTTTGGAGCTTTTTCTGGTACATTATAGGTATTGTGAGATATGTTTTAATGCACTGGTATGTGTTGAAATGTGGAGATTCTAAAGAAGGAATAAAGCTTGCAGGTGCTCCAATGCATTTGCAAGACGTGCTCCAGGGTGATGCTGAAGAGGGAGGAGCAGGAGCCCTTTCGGCGCAAGTTTCGAAGCGTCAAGACGGACAAGGCGCAGAAACTGATTGCGTTTAGGAAATTGGTGGCCAAGTGCAAGCTGGTGAAGAACTGTCCGTACTGTGGGGAAATTAATGGGACAGTGAAGAAGGCCGGGGGTGTCTATAAGATCCTGCACGACAAGTTCAAGGGCAGGAGCCACCAACTGGCAAAAGAAGACTTTGCAAATGCCATCGTTTACAATGACCAGATTGAGAGCCATCTTGCAAAGGTGGGGAGAGCATTGATCAGAAATTGCGATCAGATGAGAAAGCTCCACTCACCTCCAGAACTAGAAGTTTACTCGTTTTCAGACTGAAGGACTCTGGTGACCAGCTGGATCTGATAGTGCAAATTGAACCCGTCCCTCCTCAGACATGGAACCAAGATTTGCATGTTTTCTATAGTCCCCTGCTGCTGTTTTCTCAACATCTTTTGTTTCGAATTTCGACAGCAGATCTCAGCACTCCGGTGCTTCAGCCATTACCGTTATTGTCGTTGTTTTTTGTGAATGGACAAAGGTTTTCCTGGTGGGCGTGGATCTCAATTGTGTACAATGGCAAATTTCCAGCACTGCAAGTGGCTTACATTTCAACTGCCTTTTGTTATTTTCCAAAATCTTGCATTGTCTTGGTGGTGCTCGTGATATGCTGGAAAGATGCTAGTCACTTGCATTTCCAGAAGCCAACATTATTCTCAAACAGGATTTTCCACATGAGGCATGTGATCACTTTGTGCTGGGCACCACAATTTCATATTGATAGCCTTTGTCAAAACAAAATTGTTCTTAAGAACTGTGTGCAAATAATCCTTCTTATAGAACAATGTGCGAAACAATTGTCCTTTGAAGCACTCAGGCGATGCCAGGATACCTTTTGTAGCCTTTCTGTTTTCCTTCTTTTCTTTCTCTTCGTTTCTCTCTTCTTGAGTTTGCCTATGTGGCCCAGATCACTGACGACCTCAACCCCCTGCGGGTTTACCACCTTTTAGAGAGAATACCAGAAGCGGACGTGGAGTTGTTGGATTTAAAGTGCCGGCCTGAACACTTGCTCATATCGACTGTGCCTGTCCCGCCGGTCTGCATACGGCCATCGATAGAGATGGAGGGAATCGGCAGCAATGAAGATGACATATCCATGAGGCTGTCACAGGTGTGGTGCATACAAACATTTGTGCCCTTGTCTGGTACATCACAGTCTCTGACTGATTGCTTATTCTGGACCACTCCACATGGTCCTGAGGCGGAACAGGCTGCTGTCCTGAACTGATGAGATGGTCTTTGCAGTGAACTGGCTGGCTGGCAACAGGAAGTATACAGATGTGCGAACCCAGGTTTTCCCCCTTTGCAATGCATGTCAAATGTTGAATGTGGAATGGAGAGTGAGGGCATGTTGCTTCCCATTATGTTGTTGGCCAAATGAGGAACATTCGCAGATGCAATTGCTGAGGCAAGGGCAAGTGTAAATTGGGATATTCACAACTAATGGAATAGGCCCTCAGCTGTCACATGAAGCTCTTGGTAATCGTCCACCCCTACAACTGACCACTGTCGTAGTGTTTGTTGCGTTCCAAAAGATGACATCATGTTGAATGGCACCGGTGTCTCAAAGTTGCTATTTGACAATTACACTCATTCTGTGCTGATACTGTGCATTCAGCTTTGCTTGACCAATCTTTCTTCTGGGATTCATATCACCTTGCACATTCTTGTGAGGTGACAGAACTGCCACACCTCTTCTGTTGGGACAGGATGGGTGCTTGGGCTCCTAAAGCATGACATCATATTTGGAATCTAAAGAAAGAAGAGTGAGACACAGTTCATGTTCCAGCTTGGTATCTGGGTTCCCTGCCTGGGAATGGCAACTCCATAGTAGAACTCAAGGAAGGGGGGCTTGTGGACGATGAATGTCGTGGGCAGCATTTGCCACATGGAGGAAACAGTGTCGCCTTCCACCTTGTGGGCAGTGATGGTCAGCTGTGCATCCATAGACAATAGTTTGCTCCTGATATTCTTGCCTCCACAATCCCTTGTAAATGAATGTGCACTTTTACTCCAAATGTAATGCAGCACTCGCCAGAGTCCAGGTGCTGCCCTCATCCACATGCAGAAGAAACTTGGGAATTGTGCCACGTTACATGACAGTTCAAGGCAATGTAAAGCACAAGAGGTTGGCCACATGAATTGATCGCACAATCTCACAGCAGAGAAATTCTGTGATCGCGAGGGGCTTTAGCAGATCATTGCTCAGCAAATCGCAATCCATCCGTTGGTTTTGATGAGGGAATTGCTCCTTTCCTTTCTGATTGCAACTGCTTGCCCAATTGTCTTTCCAAAGTTTAATTTGCCACTGTTGTTGTCGATGACCAGAATGGCATACCAAAAACCAGGAACTAGAAACCAACTCATCCCCTGAATGGGGGGGGCCGGTGCTGTCCCTCTTGAAGAGAGCATTTGATTCTGCAGGTCACTGTTTGGCGTGTTGCCAGGTGATCGAGTACAACACTCGTTTGAGGGTTGGCCTCGAGCAGGGCCTCACGGCCCAGAACCTTGCAGAGATTTGGGATGCGGTGCAGGTGGAGATGGCGGTGATTATCAATTCTGACGTTCCTGGACTTGCTCAAGCACTGAAACCAGAGCGTAAAGTCAGGTGCGGCAGACTGGTGCCGTGCAGCAGCGAAGGGTGGGGAAATCTTATTCACACAGTTGATACTGTCAGCAGAATCAGAAAGTGCAATAGCATTGCCATGTACTAATGGATGAAAAATGAAATTGCAAGGTGTGGTACTTGCACTGAATAAGGGATGAGCATAGCGAAGCAAAGGGATGAACAAGTGAAGTGCTGTATTTTCTGTCTGTTTGCCATCATCTGTTTGCCAATGGCTATTTATCTAGTTGTTTAGTCTCTATTGACTGATGTCCACAGTGAGAAGTACGATGGAAGATTCAACCACAACTTTAGGGCGTTGCGGTTTTATCCATTGCTATTGGCGATTGTTCTTCGATGATTTCTTTCCATTGCAGCCTGCCGTTGCACTGCTTCCTGTTGCCCTCACCCAGTGGGAAGGTCGTAGTTTGCAGAATGAAGTGGTGTCTGGCTTTGGCGACGTCAGATGCCCCACTGTGCCGTAAATCCTTGCATGGCTCCGTTGCTTCAGAGGTTACGTCCAGCGACTCAAGGGCAAGTCAGGCCGATTTAGAGGCAACTTGTCAGGAAAGCGAGTGGACTTCAGCGGCCGAACAGTGATCTCTCCCGATCCTAACTTGGGCGTTGATGAGGTGGCGATACCCAGGCACATCGCTGTGAAGATGACATTCCCACAACACGTCAATCAATACAACATGGATGAAATGCAGGCCTGCATCTTGAATGGGACTTCTGTACACCCGGGCGCAAACATGGTGATCAAGCAGGATGGGTCCATGTTTGCCCTCAAGAGGGCAGATCGCAGGAAGGTGTCCAGAGAACTCAAGGTGTGTAGGGATGAATGTGAAAGTGCCTTTGTCAGAAAGGTACCCATTGCAAAATGTGCCTTCTCTGTATTGTCACGTGTTGCCTGGCATTCAGATAATCATGCAAAATGTCCATGCTACAAAGGCGTCCACCTAGCTGATCTTGAGGTGTGTTTGATGCTTGGATTTGGTTTGTGCCAACATTAACTTGCTGCACAACAAGGCCTGGGAGCAGAGAGGCTATGTCAGACATTTATGGCAGGCTGCGGAGCAACACTAGCAGTACCGTATTGTATGCAACCCTTCCACATCAATGAATTTCGCCATTATGCTTCTGCCTCCGCATGTTTTGTCAGAGCGTTACTTTAAACTTTGTTACAGTGCTCCACAAAATTTTTTATTGGAAGAGCGCTATTTGTTTATTTTTTTTACCACATAAAAAGGCCAAACATTACACTACTATGTGGAATGGTCAAATGTACTACGGTACCTGTCCAGAGGCCTTGGCAAGCGAGGTCCAGCAATGTGGAGTGCAGAGGCTCCTGTCAAACCATGAAATAGTGGTGGCCACAGGCATGGGTGTGTTTGAGATGGTTTTGCTCAACAAACAGTAGACTTGCGCTGCCTTGGAGCACCTACTCTTGGCAAGAATTCCTAAATTCCTCATTGGCGCCACTCCTTCGATCTTGGTGACTCTGCGAGCCAGCTGCATGTTCCAACATATTTTGCCAGCAGCTGAATGCATTGTGTGGGCTCTGCAGGCAGGAGACATCGTTGAGCGCCACCTTCGTGACGGCGACATCGTGCTGTTCAACCGGCAACCTTCCCTGCACAGGAATTCCATCATGGCCCACAAGGCGAAGGTCAAGCCATGGAGAACACTCAGGTTCAATGAGTGTGTGTGCTCACCATACAATGCAGACTTCGATGGGGATGAGATGAACATACACCTGCCGCAGACACAAGAGGCCAGGACGGAGGCTGCCCTGCTGATGGGGACTGTCCAGAACTTGAGCACTCCCAAGAATGGGGACTTGCTCATATGCGCGACTCAGGACTTCTTGACCTGTGCGTACCTGCTGACGAGCAAAGACAAGTTTCTCACAAGGGCGCAATTCTGCTTGATGTGTTGCTACATGATGGATGCAAGGCAGCACGTGGACATCCCACATCCATCCATTGTCAAGCCTGTCGAATTGTGGACAGGTCGGTTTTGAAGCTTGTGCTCAGCTCATAGTTCATCACAGGCAGTGCATGTGAACCTCTTGATTACTCTATATTGTGGTGCAGTGCATGGGCTAGAGATCGGACATGGGCCTGATGTTGAAAAGCAACAAACCACAGTTCATTTTTACCTGTGATGTCAGGCCTGAGGCTGCACCAGAAATGCCCTTCAAGCAGTGTCTATGAACACCAATACTGCTGCCAGTTCCAGCGACTGAGCTTTGCTTCCTACCTTGTTGTTGAATCACTTGTAGTACTGCCAAGTGGTTATTGGCTGTTCAGTTGGATGGAAGCATGCCATACAATGGGCAGCACCCTCCTCCGCAAAAAGTTAGTGAGGCTGTTGTCCACAGCACAGATTATGCGAAATCTTTGAATTCATTGGGAGCAGCCTATATGTCAATAGTCTGTTTCAATCTCAAGAGCTGTATGAGTTATTGATATTCCACTGTTGTCCAGTTCAGGATGGTTGGACGGTTTGTGGACATCTGTGCTGTTTCCAAGATACTTGGTGTTTGAGTATCACACGACTGGACTGTGCTTGTTCGGTTTAATTGTTTCATAAACTGGGACTTGGCCTTGAAATTGGGCCATGTTGAGCACGGCCATTGTGGCTGAACTAGTGGTGTCTCGCACGCTGCTGTTATCAACCTCTTGATTTTGTTAAATTGCAGATAAAGTCAATTTCCTTATGTCAAGATGGGTCTAGCTTGATAGCCATTCTGATGACATTTGTCAAGCAGTGGCAAAGCATGGCCCTGGTGTGTTCAGGGCATATGTGGATGCGGCATGCTCTAAACGGCCACGCAGGTGAATGTACCACTGAATTAGTTAATTGGTCATCCAGGCTGTCAGACGTTTGCCTTAGAAATTGTTCTCACGGTTTGGCCCAGGGAAGCAGCTGTGGAACGTGCTAGTCCGCCCAAACGCCAAAACCAAGGTGTTCATCCATCTTGAGGGGCCAGAGAAGACATACTCTAAAAGGGGGGAGGAGATGTGCCCGAACGATGGTTATGTGCACATTCGAAACAGCGAGCTCATCGCCGGACGCCTGGGCAAAGGCACCCTTGGGGGCAACAAGGGAGGTTTCTTCGGGGTTCTGAACAATGATGTCGACCCAAGGTCCGCGGCAGAGTGCATGAATCGGCTGGCAAAGCTGAGCTCGAGGTTCATGGGAGACCATGGGTTCTCTATCGGCATTGACGATGTGACTCCAGCCAACAAGCTAGCGGTGCAGTATGGAGAGAAAATGCATCAAAACTACAAGCAATGTGATGACTACATACAACTGTACAGGTGTGTGTGGTTGCCACAACAGTGACATGTTGAGACTTGCTGACCAATGTATCAAGATTCTGCCAGAAAGGGTGTCGCTCGATCACACGGTGATATGAATGAGTGGTTCCAATACAGAAATGCAAAAAATGACACACTGGTCATTCCAGGTGTCTTCTGAGCTCAGGGCATCAGACCACATCATTTTGGAAGGAGCTTGCGAGTCCTCACGGAGCTGGAAAAAGGAACAACCCTGCCCTTATGTCGCTTGCCAAGGTGGAAGAAGGGGCAAAGCCCCAGTCCACACTGCCTTGCACACACCTGATCAGACACACTTGGCGTTCGGCTGCACGCATCTGGCTTGCCAACAACACATTTGTTGCTGTCCAATGGCCAGATTTGTTCTGGCTGGTGCTTTCCTGCAGAACAAATGCACCAGTTCCATATAGGAAACAACGCGATTGAGTTGCACCGCTTTCTCTTTTATTGCAGGTTGTTACCATCACAATCAGCATTCACGTTTTTCCTCTGTCCTAAGAGTAGTGGACCAATAGTTGGGCATAGTTGGGGCCTTGTGGCCACCTCACAGTGCAGTGCAAGGCAGGGTGCATGCAGCTCTCCTGCGTCTGAAAACCAGGATGGCTCCCACATGGAAACAGAGGAACCAAGAATTTTGCTGAGGCCTTGGCTTTGGTAAAAAATGCCAAACCAAGCAACACGTGCACCATCGCCAGTGCATCGGCGATCATGGAAACCATTAATTTGTATCCTTCCCACCGACAGCGACCTGGTGAACCTTGCTCATGCACACCTCCTCCATTTGGACTGGGATATTGTGTTGTTGGTCCAGGCCAAGCTTCATTGTTCAAATTTGCATGCAAATGACAGGCACGGCACCTGCACCCTGCAGGCGATGATTGGCGTGCACATCTCTGGAAAGCGTTGTGCGCCACTTCCCCTCCTTTTCCATGTTCATATTGTCTTCTCGGATGGTCCTCCTTTGAACTGATTCTCTGCATATCCTGCAACGAGACATGAAGAGCCACACTTGTTCATGACCTTCAAGTGTGTGGCGGCTTGCAGGAAGGGTCAACTCCAACCCGATCCAGGCCTTGACGAGGAGCAGACTTTGGAAGCCAAGGTGACGGGCGTGCTGAACGAGATTAGGACAGAGGCAGGGAAAGTCTGCATGGAGTCTTTGCACTGGCACAACAGCCCGCTCATCATGAGTCTGTGTGGGGCCAAGGGGTCTCCCATCAACATCGCACAGATGGTGGCATGTGTAGGGCAGCAGAGCGTGAATGGGAAGCGTTGCTTCAACGGATTCACGGGCCGATCTTTGCCTCATTTTCCAAGGGGTGACAGGACTCCACAAGGTGCGGTGGGTTCAGGGGCATGGCAACCATTGTTGGTTGTCGCAGTCCATCAGCATCAATACGTATGCGCATGGCAAAGTAAGGGCCGTTGGAAGCAACCAGCTCACCACTTCCCAAAGGAAGAGCACAGCCAGAGAAGCCACAGGGTTGCCCCAGATGAGGCTGGGGAACCTGACAGACACTGTGCGTCGACACGTTCATCTGTGCTTGGACACAGCTATGCCTCCCAACACCCCATGCCGGTGATGATGGATGCAACAGCATTCGAAATGCAAGTGTGCAAGCATCTTGAACAGAATGGGCTGACCAGTCACAAGCTCCGCTGCCACTTGCACGCCCCAGCTGGGCGCAATCCAACAGCATCAATCCATGTTCCGGTGTCCGTGTGTCCCTGCAGCTATTTCTGTGTGCCAGTGTCCACCATCTGCATCCAAACGTCACTGTAAGATATTAAACCCTTCCGCATAGTAACGTAACATGTGGCCCTTTTTCGCAGAGAAATAAACAATACCGCAAATCTTATGATATAATATGATATAAACAGTACCGCAAATCTTGGCCTTTCTGCGAGGAGCAACGTGGACAAAAATACAATAATTCTCTGAAAAACAAAATGCAGAGCAAAAGTGTAATGGTGAAATTTTCTGATTCGGAAGGGTAGAATATTTTGCTGTACTTGCCACAATGCGCAGGCAAGGGATTTGTTGCAAACTCCTTCTACTCCGGGCTAACCCCGACAGAGTTCTTCTTTCACACAATGGCTGGCCGGGAAGGCCTGGTGGACACTGCTGTGAAGACTGCGGAGACTGGGTACATGTCCAGACGGCTGATGAAAGCCCTTGAGGATCTGTATGCACATTACGACTCGACTGTGCGCGACTCGTCTGCGGGCATAGTCCAGTTTAAGTACGGGGACGATGCATTGGATCCTCTGAAGATGGAAGGAAAGAGCGGCGAAGTAATCGACTTTGGGAGGCTGATGACACGGGTGAAGGCTCTCAGCGGGCGGGGGGTCAAGAGGAAGAGAAGGGAGGATGGGGCCAAATGGTTGCTTCCGGAAGACTTGAACAGGCTCATAAGCGATGCGCTGCACTGTTCTCAGTTTCAGGAGAACGCACACAGGGTGAGCCTTCTGGTGGGGCGTGGAGCGCTTGCCCTTTGACGTGAACAGTGGAAAAGCTCGCTGGGTCAGCAGGTGCTGTCACAGGCCGTGGCCATGTTGGATATAAGGGTAGTTTGCCCCTTGCTGGCAAGTGCCACAACAAACATCTGGGATGGGCAGTGTGTACTGAGGAGCACACAGTGCAGTGCAGAAACAGAGCAGTGCCTTTCTGAGTCCAGCATGCTGCATCTTACTTGGGATGCAATGTTTTGCAGAGGGACTTGCATACACAACAGATGTCATTGCCCATCATGCAACCACCAGTTGATATGAACCTTCTTTTTCACGATAGGGGCATTTGGTGGATGGTGGCAGATTGTGCTGCCTGTTTATGGTGATTTGGCACCTTCATTCCATGATTGTGACTCTTTGCCTGGCACATAGTGGTTCCAGATTGGTTGGCTGTGACTTCTGGTCAGTTGGTTGATTTGTTTCTTCCATGCAATTAGCAGGCTGGTTGTGACTCATCCTTGTGTGTTGCTATGCATGGCACCAAAGGGAGGATTGAAAGGGTCTGTAGAAATATGGTGCAGCAATGCATTCCGGAATGGACTCGCTGCCTGTTTGAGGACCGCCTTGAAGCAGTACCAGCAGGTGGGCCCGTGGCCAGGTTATGAGGAACATGGGCTTCTTGTTCCAAGCACAGCATATTTGCTTACTTGCATTTCATAAACATTCACGCATGTTCATTTGTGTACTGCAGCATTGTCGTGCATGGCATTGCATGGGGAGGTGTGGCGTGCAGCTTGGTTATCATCATCTGCAGCAAATCTTTCCACTCTCGGAATGAAAATTGGCACCCAAGCCATCAATATGACTGAAGGACAACCTTCTCAGGCTCGGTAGCCTCATTCGTCAGTTCCTAGCCCTGTGTGAGGTGCCAAGCCGTCGACATATTTCATGCGGCTGCATACATACATGGCCTTTGCACCACACGGCGATGGCGTGCACATGTCGTCGCACAGAAAAAAAATAAAAATAAATAAATTAAAAAAAGGCAGCTCACGGTCGCAGTAGACCGCAAGTCCAGATTCACTTCAAGGTTTTCAGCGTGCAACTCATCGTGTGTGCAGCGCCGCTCTACCTCAGCCGTTTGTAGGATATGGCCACGTTCTGCCACTCGTGGATGCTTGCGGCGCGCTTGCCTCGATGCCCTGACGGCGATCGTTCGGGCAGTCTGGCGGGTCATGGCAACACCACTCCTTGGGAATGCTGCTTGTTGATGTGACGAGCATCCGACATTCACTGTTGAAAAATGGCGCCAAAACGTGGTGACGACAGCACGATCTGGTCCCATGTTAACACGGTTTTAAACTTCAGATTCGCAATCTTGCCCCATTTTACTACATTTTGAAAAAGCCCAGAAACCGCATGAAATGGGCAATTCTTTTGGCCAGCAATTGCCCGGCAGCTCCGCGCTTTGTCAAGTCCTCTGGCAGCGGCCGCGCCAGAGAGGAGTTCTTTGCCCCGAACGCTCCTTTGCCAAACAGTAGCACAAGGTACACAGTCCACAATATTCGGTTGCACCACTGTTTAACGAAGGAGCATTCTTGGCGTCTCAACCGCGGCGGCAGGCCCGAGAGAGATTGGGACTTCCTGAGAAGGGACGCGGAGAGGAGGCGCTCGAATACCTGGCAGGCCTGGAGGGCTTGACGGCCGGGGAGCTGAGGCGCTTTATGAGGAGGGTTGTGGAGCGATACGAAACCAAGCGAATTGAGCCAGGCACGCGCCCCTGTGGCTGAACGCGTTGCTCTGCCTCATTTCCGCAATGTGCTAATGCTTGATGGATCTTCACGCACTTGTGCGCGAGCTGTCGTTCGGATGGATGCGCCCCCGAAAACAGAGTGGATAGCCAAGGAAATGGAGTCAATTGCCAGAATATTGAAAGGCAGAGGATGGCGAAGATTTGGAGAAGGGAGAATGTGAGGGCGAGGGAAACGAGCAAGCAATTATAAAGGAAACGGTGATGAATATGGTGGCTGGACACAGGGAACATGGCGCTAAACATGGTGGAATGAGTATCGGGATACGGTGGTTGGTAATTCAGATCACTTGCAGTGAGCGCCATTTGATTGGTGTGCTTGTCCCGCAGTGCATCCGGTTACAGCTTGGCTTTCCGTGCCTGGGAGCGACCGTGCGCACGAGTGTCTCGGTATTCGTCATAGACAGTATTAGAACCTTGTGGCGCGTCGGTTTGCCAGGCACCACCGTTGGCGCGGTCGGCGCCCAGAGCATCGGCGAACCGGGGACTCAGATGACGCTCAAGACCTTCCACTTCGCGGGCGTGGCCAGCATGAATGTCACGCTGGGCGTGCCGCGCATCAAGGAGATCATCAACGCCTCCAAGTCCATCAGCACGCCCATCATGGACGTGACGCTGGACACCAAGGACAAGGCGGCCTTCGCCCGACTCGTGAAGGGCAGGATCGAGAGGACCACCCTGGGGCAGGTTGCGCGGGAGATCAAGACGGTGTACCAGCCAGGTGGGGCTGCGGCACGTGTGTCGGTGTGTGTCAATGTCCATGCGTTACTTTTGCCGACGAATGACAAAACACAGCCCGTGCGCCTGACGGGCGATGACACAAGTAAAGAATCGGCCCAAATACACGGTTTCGAGCCGTGTTAAACCGTGTAAAAATCATGTTCACCCATTCAATACGATAATACATGATTTATACGATTTATATGATTTATACGATAATACATGATTTCTACACGCTTTTCAATCGTGTTGCACGGTACACGACATTCAAAACCGTGTAGTTTGTCCTGTTTTTAACTAGTGCGCCATGACGCCCGCGCCGCATGCAGGTGACGTCTACGTGTCTGTCGTCCTCGACTTGACCACCATCAGCAAACTGCAGCTGGAGGTTGACGCATACACTGTGAGGGACTCGATCCTGGACCACGCCAAGCTGAAGCTGGGGCCCCCCAATGTCCACGCCGAGTCGGTGGACTTCTTAACGATACACGCAAGCGAAGGCAGCGGGAAGGAGCTGCTTCTGGAGCTGTACCGCATTGAGCAGATGCTGCCGCACGTGAGGACCATGGGCCACTATGTCGCAGTACACACTACTATATATGCAATGAAGGATAGTAATATTTAACACAGTGTACAAGGCAACTCCTGGGCCTGATTGTACTTTGTACAAAATTGTAACATACAACATAACAATGTATACCGTAACATAATTAGATAGCGCAAAAATGTAATCTACCCCTTTTTCCAATGTGTCAATGTGATCACAGTCCTTGAAGCATTTTCAGCCACTGCCGTGGACGTCACATGGCGTCACGCAACGCCGCATGACACCATTGTGGATTTGAACAAGCCACATGTGCTTGGGACCACTGGCAGTTTGGTGCGCGGGCATGCTTCGTCATTTGGCAAATGTCATCAAATCGAGGATTAACACCACGTGGCGTTTTGCTGTTGGCGATGGAGTTCAGTGCCAATAGAGAGGGTTCACATGCGCGTTGCCTCACGTTTGGCAAAAAATGGGTGTGGCAGAAGCCCTGCCTGTGAATCACATGGTGTTGCTGTGTTGATGTTGACTGAGGCTGGGGCCTTGGCTTGAGACCGTGGAACCGCATTTGCCTTGGTGCAGAAAGTATTTATTGATCCATATTGAATATATATTGGCCCCGCATTGAAATCCGACCTTTCTCCCATTTGTGCTCCCGCGTGTGCCTCGATCACGCCCACATTCTCCCCAGTATGTAAGCACACATGGCGCCTTTTCTTGAGACGGCTCCTTTGCTTCTGATTCCAGAGTGTTGCGCCACATTTCACTGTCCAGGTGGTACCTCCCCCGCCCCATCGCAAGGCAGCTACAACAGCGATCTTGGGTTAAACGGAGAACAAAATTAGACAGGATTAAACGGAGGACAATATCCCGAACATGTGTATTCTGTTTTGAATGTGCGGCTCCTCGTGTCGTTGCGCAGGTCATGGTCGCGGGCATTGCCACCATAAAGCGCGCCGTTATTCGCAAGGACAACTCCAAGGCTACCAGCGGAAAGTATGAATACAGGCTGCTGGCGGACGGCACTGACCTCCTGGCAGTGATGGGCGTCACGGGCGTCGCCGGGTGCTACACACAGACCAACCACGTCATGGAGGTGGCCAGGGTGCTAGGCATAGAGGCGGGGAGGAAGAAGATCATATCGGAGATCAGGGACACCATGGAGCACTACGGCATGGTGATCGACAACCGGCACACCATGCTGCTGGCCGACTGCATGACGTACAAGGTGGGTGACTCCTTTGATTCCAAAATGTTGCGTCACATTTCGGCATCCAGGTGCCTCCCCCGTCCTACTACAGGATGTGTGGGCCTTGTGCCACCGAGCAAGTGCGTGCAAGGCGGTGTGAAACCCCAAATTGTGCGAATCCAAAAGATTCTCGGTTTCAAGGTGGAGGATGGAACGGGCGCCGACCGCTGTACCAACTTCGCTGACGAAAAATGGGGGAGGGGAATGAGCGGAAAATGGTCAAAAATGGGCGAAAATGGGCGAAAATGGGCGCGAGTAGGTGCAAAATGGGGCCGTGAATGCGCTTGGCACTGTGCTATCAGGTTCCATTGTAAATCTGATTCGATCATTCTTGTCAATCGATTTGCAGTGATATTGTCAATTAGAGGACGCAATTACGGGCGGGCGGCACTTCTTTCCACGCATTGTCATCGCCAAACGCTTCTCAAAATAGGAACTGGCGGATTTCTGGAGTTTGCTTGCGTCATGCATTGAATTCAAATGAACAAATGAACGAACCCCTCGTGCTTCAGTGCTTCTTTTGCTTTCTTTATTTGGATTCACGGACAAAAAACGTGTGCCTCAGGGGGAGGTCCTGGGCATCACCCGGAACGGCATCACGAAGATGAAGGACAGCGTGCTGCACGCGGCCTCCTTCGAGAAGACCACCGACCACCTGTTCGACGCGGCCGTGCACGGCAGGGTGGACAGCGTGAACGGGGTGAGCGAGAGCATCATCATGGGCGCGCCCATGCCCACAGGCACCGGGATGTTCAAGCTCCTGTACAACCAGGAGGGGGAGCCGTCCAGCCTGGCGCAGCGACCGCCGCCCATCCTGTCTTCCTGATCAAGCAGCCTTAATCAGCAGATGGAGGTCACTAAGGTCATTAACCAGGAGATTGAGGTCATCGGGAGGTCAGGAGATCGAGATCCCTTGTCAGGCTCTGCGGAGCGCCAGGTCGTCTTTGGGCGCCTCTTTGGTGCATCGTACCATGTACTGAAGTACGATATTTGCTCGACATTTGTGTGGTAAGGAATGGGAGCCCCTCGAAATGCATGCTCAGATGGAAGGAGCGCTCAAGGCCTTGGGTGCAAGGCCTTGACATAGGCGTGCCCAGGCGTCCGCCTTTCTGCGTAGTGCCCGGCCTGGGGATGGCGCGTTTGCCTTCTGCTTGCGGAGCATCTCCGGCCGGGTGGCTGAAATGCCTACCTCGCTGTGGAGAGGGGTAGCTGCCGGGCGTGGCTGAAATGCAACGGAGTGCGTGTTGCTGCAGGGAGGGTCATTGTTTGGGGTTTCTTTTCTGTCCTTTTTTGGGGGAAGGGGGGGAGGGGCGCGTGGCGGGCCATTGTTGCATGGCTTGATCCTTCATTCTATCGGAACGAAGCTTAGCAGGGAGGGCCCTTTGCCCGTTGCGGACGTCGTACGGCGCTGACGCTGGCGGTGGCTCAGAGCGTGAGCGCATTTCTGGCGAGGAGCTTTCGATGCAAAGCCTATGCGCACTTGGTCGCTCGCTCTCGCTTTCAAATGGACATTTCAAATGGGCATGGATCAGCCGTCGATGCTGGATGGGCTGGTCTGTGAATTTTGGAACGAAACGAGATGTGAACACGATTGGACGCGATGACCCTGTTGTTGATGCGTCTTTGGAGAGCCGTGGTTGATCGATTGCGCGACTGTGGAGTCTTTGGGGTCGGTGCAACCGGGCAGGAGCCTGAACGATGATGTAAAGCAGAGGACATGGCCTGAAACGGCCATTCAAACTAGTTGCGGATTCAAACTACTGGCGCAGCTCATCCGATGCCGCCCTTGCCAAGATACTTAATTTTGTTTCCAGCCTTGGGCATGGAAACTTCCCGAGCAATGCTCGGCAAGCACGTTTGGCACAAGAAGGCTGCCTCAAAGCTTTAGAGGGACAAGGCTCGCGTCTGGGATATTGTGGCAGGTTTTGGACACCATCCATGGGCGGTGCACACCACGCCATCAAACTGCCTGGTTGGGACGTCGGCCACTGATTTGGCCCAGAGCAGGCGCAATCTTTGCTGCACTATTTACAAGTAGATTTAAACAAAGGAGTTCAGCAGTTTCCAGCACGGATGCTAATTTCGATCGAGTCTTTTGCACAATCCACATTTCGATGCCACGAGTACGGCACAGGCACAAGGTGTGGGCGTCGTCGACGCCATGCAATCGCTCTGGGCTCCCCATCCGCCCCACGGCCAGTCGGGAACGCCACCGCATAGCGCCGCACGCCACGGCCCCAACACTGCGTTGTGAAAATGCTAACGCTTTGCGTTCAGTTACACGCACATGCTCCCCATTTTCTGTCACCGGGGACCATGCGTGATTGTTTAACGTGTGTTCAGCTCGCGACAAGCATTCGACACACCCACACACAAACACACAAACATGCACACACATCCCTCCCCTGTGCACAGAGCGCGTCCACATCTAGGAGCCACTATCCCCCGTCAACTGCACACTTGTCACAGCCAGGAGCACGCCGCACTCAGTGCGGACACAGCGCTCTCCCTCACCCCAAAGCACCACCAACTCGCACCAATTCCAGTCATTCGCCTAGCTTATCAGCCCGTGCGGGCTCCGCCGCAGCCCCTACAGTTTGTTCGTTTAGGGCCTAAACGAAAACGAGCGGGTGGAATCCGAAGGGGGCGCTGGGCCCCCCAATACGCCCATGCCCAGTAGGCCGCTTGTCGTGACACTGAGACCACCAACCTTGAGAGTGGTCCCCTCCCCCACTGAATTGGATATGACAGTTTGCGCATCGGGCAATGCGTGCCAGATCGGATATCCACCCGCGACCCACAGGCTCGTCGCCGCGGAGCCCCTCAAATCCCCACCACAGGGAGCGCTACTCTACTTGGAACCTTCCAGAAGATAAATCCTGCCGTTGAGTTGACATTCTGAGATGTTCGGACACCGCACCACGTGAACAATCGGCGATCCTCGGTGCCAAGCGCACATTATTGTCGCACGCCCTTGTGGCGTGCCGACACCCCCAAACCAAGCTGAAGTCTTCACAGGCTAAAAACAGCTCGCCAGAAAATCGATCCTCGAGGGCCTAAGAGGCACCTTATTTCCGTTATTATCACAGGGGCCCAGAAGGCAGCCACCACAACAGGCGGGGCCCAGGCCAGAAAAAGTCATTAGCATTCGCCCCACCCTCCCACACGTCGGTGTCGATCACTCTCTAAGGAGAGCACCCCGCCCACCCCCCCTTGTCCCCAAAACTGCCAATGCCCAACCACCAGGTGTTGGCCCCCCGTCGCTCGTCCCAGCCACTGCATCGCCCAGCTCGGGTGCTCCCAAAGCACACACCCCTGCATGAATTCTGAAAAACCCCAAAGTGCTGCTCACGAAGCCAGTCCTCCCACAATCCACAGCGGACCTGTCATTTAACTCAGCGGGGCCACGTACGTTTCGAGGGCCGTAAAGTGACGCCCCTGTTTGTTGGAGCATGGACCAGAGTGTGTGCAACTGCCGCAGTTGACGACAGCAAACTACACACAACTATAACAGAGCCCCACATCGCTCCCTATGTACAGCATTCTGCAGCTCTCTCAGTGATAGGTTCCTTCAATCCTATGCATCGAACTGGATGTAACGCCACTCGAAGGCCATCCAAGCCCTCCTTTTCCCAACGCCCATAGTTCTGACACCTGCATGCCAAGCCACCGTACAAAAGTGGGCAACATGACCATTCTGCCAAAAGGCTGGAAACAGAGCGCCTGGTGGCCTTATGCTCTCAACTGGCTGTCGTTCATGAACGAGAAGCAGCCCCTTTGCTGCTGCCCATGCTCTGATTTTGCCATGGCAACCCACATGCTCTCCCGTGTCAGTAGGTAGCCACTTGCATGTTCCAATTCTTGAACTGCCCAAAGCCGTCAGCAACAAGCATTGCAGTCGGCGGGCATAGAGACTCAGAAGAATGGTGCCACAGTTCCATGATCCTCCGCTTCGCTCTCCAGCCACCACTGCCACAGCCAATGCTGGTTCTGGTTGGGGCGAATCTCCGCAAAGCAACGCCCGCAGAATTGCTGGAGTCCCACAGCTGGAAGCGTCCAGTGGATGGATGGGTGTCGCATGGACTGTGACCGTCCCCAGCCTTGCTCAGCTCAGGTGCTTTCATGGCACCTGTACAGAATGATGCACTCGAAACAGGACCAATGCTGCTGGCACCCTGTACATTGCCCAGGCCTTCATCAGAGCGGGATCCACCCAATTGTCCTCTGCCGCCCCCTTTGCTTCGTTTGCCAGAGCCGCACAGCGCCAACAGCTTGTGCCTGTCCTGGTAGCAGCCCTCGTTGAACTGTGCGGAGTTGGCGGCAGGTTCTCCCGCTGACTCTGGGTGGGGGCCAGGCGTCTGGGAGTGGCAGATTGCCTGCGAGGCGGATGGCAGAGGGGCATTCTGGACAGGCCTTTCAGCCAGTACCCCCATTCTGGGCTGGGGTGCCACTGTGTGCTCGGTTTTCGGATGGCGCTCAGACTTCGGACTCCTGGCCCCTGAAACTGGTGCTTGTGAACTGCCAGCCTGCATGGCCCACTGCTGCAGAAAGCTCACCTGCAGCACAGCAGCACAACACTGAGACCACATAGTACACATTGAGTATTCACGAGGCATCGTAAAGCAAGAATCCGCAGGCGTGTTCTGCCACCCCCATTGCAATACTGGCATTGGTTCTGCACCTGGCGCATGTGCTGTCACACTCAATCATTTCCTGACCTTGCTGAGTCTTGTACTGCTCAAGACTGACAAAGGCTCCACTACTATCTGACAGAGCAGGACAGCTGCATGATACCCCAAACAAGATGCAGAAACTGGAACAAAACACTGCCCCACATCTTAACAGGGGCTGCCATCAGCTCTTGACAGCAGAGCCATGGGTACCATAGGATGCTGCGATGTCTCTGCAAAAGCAGCATGCAGGCCGCACATACTCCTTGATCTCGTAAGTGGCAGCCTACGGCGCGGCACTTGTGGTTTCCTTCCTGCTGCAAGGACAGCATCATCAAACAGAGCACAGCAACAGGGCCCCACTCACCATGCAGCGCTTCTCTGATTCCTCAGCAAGGTGCATCCACCCCGGCAAGTCCACACAGCTCGCCTTGCACAGGGAAGCCACCTCAGCCACTGCCCCCGGCCCCAGCATCGCGACGGGAAGCACAGCCTCTGTCACTGCTGTCCACGACCGCCCCAGCGCGAAGCCCACAAGGCGGCGGGCAGTGCGCACAATCACAGCCATCTCCTCAACAGTGTACTCCCACTTGGCAGCCTCCTCGAAGGCCTCAGCAGGGGCGGAGTCGCTGTACCTGGCAAGGACCCAGTCCCGAAACTCCAACACACGTCCCATGTCGTGCAGCCAGCTATCCAGGGCCTCGTCTGGAAGACAGCCACACACGACACACAGTTTCAAGGAGGATTTCACTGATTTAACTGAATGGGGTTGGGCATTCAATCTCACAAGCACTGTGGGATGCTTGTGGACGGCCAGACAAACAGGGACAATCGATTAATCCAAAGCCAGCAGAGGCCCATGCCATGACCAGTCTGCAGTGTTTCATGCTCCTGTGTGCATTTGGAGGCCGACCCATTGCATTTCAGTTGTCAAAATGTGACAAAGCCTGTTCAGAAAACTTATCACTAAATTTTGCGACTAAAATGTTGTTAGAATATGTTGTGCAATAAAACTATCATTGAAATTGCCAACTTGCTGCAATTTGTTGTATTCGACTACAGCTACCAGTGTGGAGAGCACTGGTTTAAGGGAGGACCCAGCAGCCAACAAAACACCAAGGAAACGGATTCCCACAGGCACAACCAATGGGAACATCCAACGATATAGCAATACAATCAGTCGATAAAAGCAACGGTAGAACAGTACAATTACTGCCACAGTCCAGCATACACCATCAAAGCATACATCTTTAGTAAGAACAAAGAACAGGCAAGGTTCTACAAATGACCACAGACACACTCGCGTGCAACTGCGAACAAGGCAAAACAAGGAACAAGGACATCTCGAGTCCCATGTGCACTGTTGCAAAATGTTCGCACACCTGACGTGTTCTCTGTCTCCAGCGATCGCACCTCAGCCACAATTTGTGGATCCCGAACAGCCAGAACAACCTTGCATCAACAGCACACTTCAATGTTAACCAGCAGCAGAATCCCAGAGCGACCTCACCTGATGCATGTACGGCCCAGCCGAAGTCACTGCAGCTCTGGTGGCTTACTTGGGACATAAAATCGCCAGACAGGGGCAATATTCTTTGCTTCTGCAAAGGCACCTAAAGTGGATTTCGCTGGTATCAAGCTGCACATGCGCAAGCAAACAAGAGCCCACATACCCAGCTTCACACCATTTCCACACAAAGAGCAAACTTTGTCCACTAAGCCTTTTGGGAGATGCCATTCAATGCAGCGCTCTTACAGCAGCCAGCAAAACAGTTGTTCCTTTTCTGACTGCTTCCTCATGAGTGCAACATGCTGATGTGCTGGCTACTGGTATGGCATACTCTATTTGCAGAATGAAACAACTGCATGACCAAGTCTGTTGTCCACCGAGCATCTCGACATGTCCTGGCCATTGCAATGTTGAGATGGCTCAGGCAGGCCATGTGCATCACCAAAACGTACTCACGGTGCACACCACAAGCGCACTACCGCAGGCACCATTTGAGTAAGTGTCCTACTTGCTGGGTGGCCTACCCGTGGTTCACTGCTGAGCGTCCCCATGTGTGCAGCCTCGATTCGCAGTGCCCCTGTTTGACATTCCTCCAACAGCTCACATTCCACTGCTTCAACACCTTCCACCTCTTCATGAGCATCGTAATCCACATCAATAGGGACATATCGACCTGATGAGAACAGGCACGCCAATCATTTCAATCACTCCACTGCAAACTGTAGGCCGGCAAGGCAACATCTCTCCAAAAACGTGAAACTGCAACAAGCAGCAACCAGTGTTGAGTTGCATGCCAATGCCAAGAGGGCGGCAGCCTATATTCACAGCGTACACAACAATTCTCCACACCTGCCATGGCTGATACAGGTCATGTCATGGGCTGGCAAACTGCACTATGGGCGAAGCATAGCAGATGATAAAGGAACAAAAACTGCACAAAAGCCACCATAGCCTTGCCTGTCTGGCCGCCAAAGTACCAAACAAAGGATAAGAAGACAGAGGGCACACCAGAGCCACCCCACCTTTGACTCTGCAGAACAGCGTGTCCTGCAGACCAGAAATGCCCTTCCCTTGGAGAGTGAACTTTGCGCCGGGCTCATTCAAAATGCAGAATGGGGAGGGCCTCTGAACGACTGGAAACAGGTCAGGCTTGTCTTCCCTGGAGAAGGACTGAATGACGGCACCCTCACGCACTATGACCACCTGGTCCTCCAGTTGGAACTGCAGAATAGAAGTACGTGCATCAGCAAGATCAAGGCTACGCAGCTGAAGTGGCAAAGAGATGCATACAGATGATCGAGTGCGGCCCAAAGTCCACAACACTTGGGGCACACTGCTATGTGCATCACAATATCTGTCCGCAACAATCGTAGGATTCAGTGACTGCCAAAATGACAAACTCTGGCATTCATGACAGCAGGACACAGATGACCAATAGATTCTGATTGAAAGTGTGACGGGCAGCAATACAAGACAACATCGAGGTCATTCTTTTCACGACCTGGGCCACCCCTCTTGAGCGAGAAGGTGACGGAACAACGCAAACA